CACACACTCACACACACACACACACACACACACACACACACACACACACACACACCCACACACACCCACACACACGCACACACACGCACACACCCGCACACACCCGCACACACCCGCACACACCCGCACACACCCGCACACACCCGCACACACCCGCACACACCCGCACACACCCGCACACACCCGCACACACCCGCACACACCCGCACACACCCGCACACACCCGCACACACACGCACACACACGCGCACACGCGCACACACGCACACACGCACACACACACACACACACACACACACACACACACGTTTTTCGGGGATGAGTGCTTTAGGGAATCCGCGCATATCGACGTTCGATAACACTTTCTAGAAGCAAACGGAGAAGGACCCGTTCAGTTTAAGACACCCCTGGATGATCATGTTGCGACTTGGCTTGTTTTCTTCTCCCTTGTTTTGTTTCGGAGGGGGGGGGGCGGAAGTTGACCTTGCTTCTTCTCTTTTTCCCGAAAGCATGGCGAAGGGTTCTTCCGTTGGATTCATGGGAGTCATTGCAAGGAGTTATCATCATCAGAGTCATTGCACAGAGTCATCATCATCATGAGAGTCATTGCAAAGAGTTATCATCATTGCACAGAGTTATCATTCTCACTCATGACGAGATTTAAATTCCTTTCTTCTCTTCTTAGGGCGGCGGGGTAGGGCCGACAGCACTCTACGAAAATCAACCCTCTGCGGAGATTCGTGTGGTCGAGGTCAAATAAACTGAGGACTTTTTTCGATTTCTGATCTGTGCGAGCGACCCTCTGCAGAGATTCGTGTGGCCGAGGTCAAAAACCTGAGGACTTTTTACGATTTCTGCTGAGCGACCCTCTGCGGAGATTCGTGTGGCCGAGGTCAAAAAACTGAGGGTTTTTGCGATTTTGACATTCCAGGATGAACCCTCTGCGGGGATCGGCGTGGTCGATGTGCGCAAAAACTGAGGGTTTTTCCGATTCTGAATATGCTCGCGCGACCCTCTGCGAGGATCGTGCGCGTCGAAGCGCTCTCGCTGTGGCGCCGTGCGAATTTGTTGCTGGCGAAGTGGTCTTTGGAAGTCGCGGCTGCTCTAGACAGAAATCGCAACTCTTAATTGCAAGGGTAGTACGCGGACGCTGGAAAATCGCAACTTTTAGGTACAACTATAGTGCGCGGAGTACAGTCCTGCAGCTCCGGCTGCATAATGGAACTTTTCAATCAGAAAACCAGTATGCGAAGTACTTCCCGAAAGCTCCGGCAGCACTTGCGCAGAGCAACTTGCACAGAGCGCTGCCGATTGCGCAGAGCAACCTGCGCAAAGCAAATTGCACAGAGCACGTGCACATAGCAGCTAGCGCAGGGCAACTTGGGCAGACCAAAAGTCAGGTGTTGTGTTGGGAGAATTATTATCATGAGAGTCATTGCACAGAGTCATCATGACAGCCATTGCACAGGGTCATCGCACAAGAGTCATTGAACGGAGTCATCACGAGCGTGATCGCACAGAGCCATCATGAGAGTCATTGCCCAGAATCATCATGAGAGTCCTTGCGCAGAATCGTCATGAGAGTCATTGCGCAGAGTCATCGTGAGAGTCATTGCGCAGAAGCATCATGAGAGTCATTGCACAGAGTCAACACAGCCATTGCGTAGAGTCATCACACCAGAGTCATTGCACAGAGTCATCATGACAGCCATTGCATAGAGTCATCGCACAAGAGCCATTGAACGGAGTCATCACGAGAGTCATTGCACAGAGTCATTGTGAGAGTCATTGCACAGAATCATCATGAGAGTCATTGCATAGAATCATCATGAGGGTCATTGCGCAGAATCATCATGAGAGTCACTTGCGTTGTAGTCAGGGGTCCGACACCCCACCCCACCCCACCCCAACCCCACCCCACCCCACCCCACCCACCCCACCACCCCACCCCACCACCCCAACCGCACCACCCCACCCCACCCCACCCCACCCCACCCCACCCCACCCCACCCCACCCCACCCCACCCCACCCCACCCCACCCCACCCCACCCCACCCCAACCCCACCCCACCCCACCCCACCCCACCCCACCCCACCCCACCCCACCCCACCACCCCACCCCACCCCACCCCACCACCCCACCCCACCCCACCCCACCACCCCACCCCACCCATTCTTTGTGTTCTTCTTTTCTGGGATATGTTTTGGCCAGGGTCTGTCTTAGTTGAACATCAACATCCAGGGAAATCAACGCCCCCTCCCCTGCTACCCTCATTCAGAGACACACCCTCGTCTTGAAACCCCTTAAGCTGGGTGGTGTTCTTTCGTTCCAGTTTAAAACACCCCTCAAAATGCAGGTACCCAAAAAGCAAACACACACACAGACACACAGGCCCATGTCCAGCTTCGGCCTTCAGCTTTCAGCTTTCGGCATGTTGCCTTTGGCTTTTCCGAGGTCATTCTTCGCCATTTCGAGGACATTGCAACCAACGTGGCGAATACCCTTCGCTTGCAGGACAGGAGTTTGTTTGATCATGTACACGTATGTATATTTATATATACATACACAATGTATGTATGTATGTATGTATATATATATATATATGTATCTATATATGTAGGCAGGCGCCCGACCGTAGAACCCAGGAGTTTGAAATGACCCTAGACCAATACCCTAAACCAATACCCTACACAAACCCCAAAGGCGTGTGTTTCGTCATGTGTTTTGTTGACCTTCCTTCAAGTCGCGCGGTATGGCCAGTAAATTTTGCATGTTGAGAGCAGCCATTTATAAGACGGGTTTGGTTTTCCGTGCTTTCACTCAAACTACAGGGCCGACGAAACAGACTGATTTATGAGAAGGCACCCCCGATCATGTGCAACCGCTCAGCACACGGGCACCTGCCAAAGGACAAGACCCCCCCACTGGTGGGTTCCCTCAAAAACCGACCAAAATGGGATATACCCTCAAAAAGTCAGACCCCCTCTGCCTTCCATAGGGTCACATCAAGCTTAAGGAGTGTTCTGCTTCGACGCTGTGCCCTGCCGGCCAGGCCCCCGACTAAGGCGTAGGGTTGGCTTTCTCTGCTGCTCATTTGTCACATCCATTTTGGCACCCTCTCCAACTCCGTGTTTGAATCTAAAGGTTGAATGCCCTTGCCAAACAAAACATCCGGGAATTGTCGCCTTTGTACGACCGCGATATGAGGATTGCTGACCCCATTTCCCCTTGGGAAGTGGTTCGAGGCTATCAGAAGCCTTGGGTGACCCAGGCAGGGGGTAGGATGCTACACATGATTCTCTGTGTGTGCAAGCTGGAAGGCGTTTGTGAGAACCCGTTTGTCACGGGTCCCCTGAAGACCCGGTCAGGAGGAGTGTGACGTACTCTCCCTAGTCCTCGCCCAGTACAAGGCGCGTGTTTGGGCTAGATGGCTCGCCAAACAGAGCAAAACAGTAGGCCTGCAAAGGTTCTGTGCCCATATGCTGTATTGGGTGTTATTGGGGGACGCACAGAATCTAGAGGCGTATTTTGCGGCCTTTGAAGATCGCCTTTTTGGGGCAGTTTGAGTTTCCCGGATCCGTGCGGCAGTTCCGAACAAAGAAAACACACATCGCACCGTTCGACTTGGCTGTTCAGTGGATTCCATCCTTCAAAACATTGTTTTTGTTCGGGCCCGCTGAGACTGTGTTTTCAACCCACCCTTGGGCATCGTTGTTTTACAGGTAGGAACTGGGTGGCATCACGGCCAGAATCAACTCCTCTGTGCGCTTTTGTGGCCTTTTGCCCTTCCCTCATCTTTTCCCATAGAGAAGCTAGAGCGCGCAGAGAGCGAGCGAAGGGTTCCTGAATTTTGCCTTAGCAGCAGCACATTGTCAGTTGCAGTGGGATGGGTCGCAAGTTTCAAGGAGACAAACCCCTACGGAGGTTGGCATGAGGTCGGAAGTGGAGGTAGGGATACCAGGATTCATTCCCTAGTGCTTGGTCGATGACTGAATTTTTGACCTTCGAGTTGGTTTCCCAGCAACTTGCTCAAGAATCTCGAAGTGCCCAGGGCACGATCGTCCTGTCGGAGTTTAAGCTGGTGATGATGGCTGCCTTGCGGTCGCTGGTGCCCAAAGAATGGGAAACTTGGACGCAAGGCTTCGACCGGGGCGTTTTTGGGCATACCATTTGCCTGCTGCCCGTTTCGGGGTTTCCCTTGAGATTTCCCGAGTTCAACCCATTTTGAGACTGGAGTCCCGACGGCCACAAGTGGATGGGTCAGCGCCAGAAGTCAACGGGCGGGAACCAAGCCACAAGCCAAGGTTCACCTGGTCGAACGAGCGAGCACCCTTGAAGGTACTTTACGGGGGATTCCTGGTTGCGGGTTGGGATGTTTGGCCATTTGCCCAGAATTATAGACAAGATCATGGATTCAAGGTGGTTTGGTCACACATGTGAACTATGTGGACACTTGTTGGATGGCTTGGCTCTTGAATACACTGTTCACTGTTCTACGGAACCTGTACGCAGCTGTAAAGGGAAGAGAAAACCAAGAGGCAAGGTTCGAAGAGAAATACCTCGGCCGCGAATCGCATGGGCGCGACGTGTTTTCGTCGCTTCGAGGATCTGCAGCATGAGACTGCTTGGTCCTGGCTGTGGGACAGAGTCGAGGGCATGCTCAAGGAAAGCCACGCAGGGCTGATGAACTCGCTCAGCGGTTGCTTCGCCTTGGAAGAAAACGGGTCTCTTTTTGAGGCTGCGGACACATCCCCCCCAATTCTCAACTAGTGTAACAGAGACTGCAGGTAGGAAGCTAAGGAATCCATTAGTCTAGGGGCTGGTTCCCCATTCTTTTCAACCATCGTTCTTTTCAAAGACCGATCGCTGTTTCCCTGTGTTTTTGATGGTTTCCTGAAAAGATCCGGATTCCTGGAAAGAATGGAAATGGAAGCTAGCCCTCGCATTATGTATTTGGATGGCTTTTCTTCCGTAAGGGGCCTTACGCTGTCAGGCACTTTTTTGCCAGCCGGGCTCGCACACGCAAACCTCGCCTCACTGCTCTCGCTCCATGCATTGGACGGAAACATAGAAACCCTGAACATGAAGTTACCCACCAGGAGAGTTTTCTGCAAAATGCAGGTGCTGTTTTTGTTTTGGCATAGCCTTAGGTATGTTGGATTCCTTAGCCCTGCCCTGACACTGGCACTGGGTTGCCACGGGTCTCACTGTGTTCGCAATGAGCCTGTCGCTCTGTGAGGGGATCTGCGCACTTTCATGAGGGTAAAGCCAACAGGGCCAACAGGACAGGACTCAATAGACTCTTGCCTGTGAACTCTTCAAGCATTGCTGTCAGAGTGACCCTTATCCTTTTATCCTTTTGGTGAATGTGTTTGTTTCCCTGCTGGCAAACAGCGAATCACAGTTTGCAGGGGGTCAGCCTGACAAAGGATGCAAGAGTATAATTGCCTGTAAAGGGTATCAACTGCATGACCCTGATCCTTTTAACCCTTGGTGGTTTCCCTAGCAAACACGGAAACATCAAGAGCAGAAGCCCACTGCAGTTCGGAGGTCAGCAGCTTTGGACCCTGACATTCAGGCCATGGTTGCAAGATGGGGCCCCTCTTTTCGCCGGGGCTGGACCAGGCAACTCCTGCGCAAAAAAATGGGCCGCGAGCCCTGTGCAACATGGCAAGCATGGTAATGTGGGGCCTGCTTAAAATGCCAAGTGTCGCAACATGTCCTGTTTCAGGTTGGGGCATCGGCTTGAGTTGGGTCCAACATTTCTATGACCTTAGGTTTCTTCTTGTTGTCTAAGGGCAACTTCGCCACTGTTTCGTAGCATCCTTCTTTCAATTTGAACACACTGAACATGGGGAATCTAGCCCGAGATTCTGTATAGGGAATGTATTTTGTGAGAGGGGTTCACTTGCTGGTTCTCAGCAGGAAATGAGGGAATGACCCCGGTCACCCTCCCCTTTGCTTTCCTTTAAGAGAATCCCCTTCCGGTTCATTCCCAACACCCTGGGTCATTCCCTACTGAGCACCAGCAAGTCAACCCCTCTCGAAAGATACACACCCAATACCTAGAATCTAGGGGTCGATTCCCCATGTTCAACCATCAGTCTTTTCAGAAGAAAAGACAGAAAGCACCATGGAAAGACGGCTGTTTTCTCACCCCCCTTATCGGGCCTTCAAGCTATCGGGAACCCCCTCGGTCGGTCGGTGCAGCTGTTCGCCAGGAGAACATGGGCAAGCCCCAGGTCTACCGGAAGGAGCTACAGCGGCTGTTCCTGCGCTTTGGGCTGAAGCTGACTGGTGCTGGGCGGGTGGGGAACCCACGAGACGCCCCCCATGTTGGTCTGGCGCAAAACAGGACCCAAGCAAAATGTGTGTGGTGTCAAGCCCGCGTGTTTTCCTTGAAAGCCCGTTTGCTTGGTACTTTGAGAATCCAAAGGGAAACCAATGATGCTGTTGCTTTTCTTAGAGGAACACAAATTGGTTTGAACAATCGGAGCCAGACTGAGACTTTTTTGGACCTGGGTATTGTCGTTTCGACCTGGGTCTGGAAGGAGTTACCCTGGTCAGAGAATCCAAATGGAGGTTGTGTAAACGGGGCTTCCTTGAAACCAGACGCAGCGAGTGGTTGGAGCACCCCCCGGATGGTGGACATGAACTCCCAGCTAAAAGATGTCTCAAGGGTCCCCAAAGATGTCCAAAGCGTCCCAGCATTGTGTTGGATTGTGCCGGATCCCGAGGGCTGTGCGGAGTTGCTGCAAAAACCGAGTCGGCCAAAGGAGTAAAGGACCTGTTGGGCGCTTGAAAGCCAAATTCGAGCACGGGAAGAAGATGCGTGCAATGATTTTGACCCTTGTGTTACATTCCTTTTTCGACTCTCTTGACCAACGTGAATAGGTCTTCAGGAGATTTCTCAGCCTTTGGTCAGAGCAACAGTCCGTAGCAAGCCGCCTTCAAGCTGTACCATGAGCAAACGGGGCTGACACACCAAAATCCAATGTCAACAGATGTTGAGGTGACTTTGCAGCGCAGTGTTTCCCACAAACCTTTCTGCTAGCGCGCGGGTCCGGCAGGACCTGTCGCCTTTACTTGAGAATGGCAATAGTTTGGTTTGACAACAGAACGCGGGTGCGTTTTTGTTTTTGTTGTTTTTTTCTCCGACAAATGCCCCGCGAAAATGTTGTTTTCTTTTGGGTGGCCCTCGTCATGTGCTCGACAGATGTCTCTCTCGCTTCCGAAGGGGGGGCTGGCGGGCTGGACGGTTTGCGCGCAAAACGGGGGGTTCAACCGTCCCCCCCCTTCCGAAATGTTTCCAGTGGAAATCCGTCGGTTTCCCTTTACCCCCCAGCCCAAAAAGTGTACCCACCAAAAAGGATGTCGAGCCACATTTTGCCTGAGCTTGTGCACCTTGAGGGAGAGCATGGATCAGGACACGGCCGCTGAGCTGAGTCAGGCGTTTCTTCACTTTTTTCAGGGGCCATTTTTTGGGTTTGGGTTGCATGACTTCTTGAAAAGGAAGCCAAGCGAACATCTTCATGGGAGCTCTTTGGTCCATGAGGCGGCGATCGTGCCAGATTCCCAGGGGAAAAGTATATGCAGAAGTGGTAGTCGATGCCTTTTTGGGTATGCCAAGCTGCTAACAAGTGAAAAGCAAAAGAACCGCTCTTTGGGAAAGTGCGGAATTCTCTGTGGTGCAAATGCCTGGATTCGGCTAGATGTTTTGCGATTCCATTATATAAGTACCTGTGGTACTGGTTCCAAGAGTTCTCGCGGTCAGCAAGAGGGGCTTTGCCATTGGGGGAGTGACTGGAAGTAATGGCGAATTCATGAGGGCAGTCTTCCCCCGACTCAGTGTTTTGGTTCAGACTCGGCCTAAAAAAAGAGCGTGAGGGGAGGGGACAACATGGGGTGCACTCACCGAACTACCAGAAAATGGAGGTTACTTGTGTGATTGTTTTGCACTTTGCACCAAACCCGCACATTCACGCAGCCACACACACACACACACACGCAAACCCGCACACCCGCCCTGCACCCTCGTACCCACCTACACTGCGCTCATGCACTCTCGCGCTGACGCACTGGGGACGCCTGTTTCCACCCCGGCATTGGGATGTGTATTTGTTTGAGGGTCAGAAGGAAAGCCACCTTGGCGTTCCCCTACAAATACCCATCCAGCAACTGAAGGAACCATGGCAAAAAGCGGACACCCGCGTCCCGATGTGACCCGATGCGACCCGATGCGTCCCGATGCGTCCCGATGCGTCCCGATGCGTCCCGATGCGTCCCGATGCGTCCCGATGCGTCCCGATGCGCGTGCGAAGTGGCTCTCATCTCGATGTGGCCTCACAGGGAACTCATCATGGGCTCTCCAAAAGGCTGCATTTCGGGGTTCTCTTTTCTATGGAGTTCATGATATGAACAAGTATGATTTCTGGACCGGGGCAAGTACCTGGAGTCTCCATGACCCTTAAAAAATGGAGTCAGTACCCAAAATTAAGGGGTCATGGACCCATTTTTAAGGGTCATGGAGACTCTAGGTAAGCACCTAGTGGGTATGGGGCAAAATGAAACCATCAGATGACCGCAAGTTTTGGTCCATGTTTCCACTTACCAGGAGCCATTTGGGGTACCTATTTTTGACCCACAGCCAAGTATGAATTCGGGGCGCCGGGCTTCGGCGCGCTTGGCTCCCGGCTTCTCGATGCTGAGATGTCGAAGTTCCAGCGCGGCATCTACTCCCGCTTCTTCTCCATGGCGCCCAAGGGCCAGGACCTGGGACTCCTTCCGGATCGAAACGAAGCGAAGGGGACCCGGACGTGAGCCAAAGCCTGTGGTGGAGCTTTGCCCGGTTGTGACGCTTTTTTTGTTCTAGTTGAAGTTACAGGAAAATGGTCAGGACTGGTAAACACTTGCTTATTTGGCAGTCGTAGCTTTAGCGAACGGAAGTCTTGGTCAATGCCTGGGAACTACTTACAATGTTAGGCCTTTGAAGCCGTGTAAAAACATGATGGTCGAAGCGATTCAAATCCTGGACTGCTCACGGCAGTGTTCGTTCCGGGGAGGAGTCGTGGTCCTTAGGGGAGTTGTTTCCCTTTCCTCAGGGTGCCGATGTGGGTGTGTCTTGTGTTGAGACCGGGGGACCGTGGTCGTGCGCTTTTTGTGTGTTTTTGAGGCTTGATCTCTTGCGGAAGTTGTGCGCATGCTTCTTGATGAGTGTTTGCCTCTCTGAGTGGCACTGGGAATCTGAGTGTAAGTCTTGGCACTGTTCAATTTAAATTTGGCACTGCTAAATGAAGTGCTTTGAATGCAAGAGTAAGTCTTGGCAATACCAAATTTAGATCTGGATACTAGATGAAGTACTGGGAATCTGAGTGCAGTGTAAGGCTTGGCAATTCTCGATAAAGACAATACTAAATGAAGTACCGGGATTCTGAGGGTAAGTCTCGGCAATACTAAATTTAGAATGGACAATACTAAGCTTAGCATTGGAAAACTAAACAGTAAGTCTTCGCAATTCTAAATTAACTACTGGGATTCTGAGAGTAAGTCTTGGCAATACTCAATTTAGAATTGGCAACATGTTAAATCAAGCACTGGGAATCTGAGAAGACGTCTTGGCAATGCTAAATCTAGAATTTTCAATATGAACTAAATTCATCACAGGGGATCTGGAAGAAAGGCCTGGCAATGTTCAATTTGCATTTGGCAATACAATTTAGGATTGGCAATACTAAATCAAGCACTGGGAACCTGAGAGTACGTCTTGGCAATAGTCAATTTAGAATTTGCAAAAAAACATGAAATAAGCAATGGTGGGAATCTGGCAATACTAAATCTAGAATTGTCAATATGCACAAAATTCAGCACTGGGAGTCTGAAAGTAAGGCTTGGCATTTTTTCAATTTGGAATTGCCAATTCTAAAATTAGCATTGGGATCTGAGTGTAAGTCTTGACAGTGCTCAGTTTAGGTTTGGCAATAGTATTGCCGAGACTTACCCTCAGAATCCCGGTCCTTCATTTAGTATTATCGTAGTCGAGAGTTGCCAAGCCTTGCTCTGCACTCAGATTCCCAGCGCTTAATCTAGTATTGCCAGATCTAAATCTGGCATTGCCAAGACTTACTCTTGCATTCAAAGGACTTCATTTGGCAGTGCAATTTTAAATTCAGGCCAGATCTAAATTTGGCATTGCCAAGACTTACTCTTGAATTCAAAGGACTTCATTTAGCAGTGCCAATTTTCAATTGAGCAGTGCCAACTAAATTGAATATTTCGATAACTTACTCTCAGAATCCCAGTACTTAATTTAGTATTGCAAAGATTTATTTTTAGCTTCCCGGTGCTTGATTTGACATGTTGCCAATTCTAAATTGAGTATTGCCAAGACTTACTCTCAGAATCCCAGTAGATAATTCAGTGTTGCGAAGACTTACTCTTAGTTTCCCAGGTTTTCTCAAAGCTTTTTTTGGCTCAATAAACCAAACAATGGCTTAACGGGGACCAGCCACATTTGAGCCCAAAATAGCCATGGGCTCATGGGTTACATTCGGGCTGGTTCTGCCACTTCGAACTGATACCTCGTCCACCAGTGGAATTAAGCACAGGGAATCTGAGAGGAAGTCTTGGCAATACCAAATCTAGAACTTTCAGTATATACTAAATGCAGTACAGGGAAGCTAAAAGTACGGGTTGGCAATGTTCAATTTGCAATTGGCAATACTATATGTAGAATTTTCATTACTAATCAAGCACTGGGAATCTGAGTGTAAGTCTTGGCACTGCAAATGAAGTCCTTTGAATGCAAGAGTAAGTCTTGGCAGAACCAAATTTAGATCTGGATACTAGATGAAGCACTGGGAATCTGAGTGCAGTGTAAGGCTTGGCAATTCTCGATAAAGATAATACTAAATGAAGTACCGGGATTCTGAGGGTAAGTCTCGGCAATTAAAACAACCAACAAAAACTCGAGAAAACCAAATAAAACCAAAGAACCCCAAAAAAACATGTTTCCAGAACTCTTTCAACACGGGTTGCTGCAAAGAGTTTCCAAACCATGTTTTTTTTTGGGGGGGTTCTTTGGCTTTCGGTTTTCTCGAGGTTTTGTTTTGTTTTTTTTGGGGGTTTTCCTTGATTTTTTTTGTTTTTTCTTGTTTTCTCAAGATGTTTCCTTTGCTCGTGTTAGATCAAGTGCAACTGACATGGCTGACCCATGAGAAGACTGCAAGCCTCAAAACGCGCAAATAGCGCACTACCAAGGTCCCCGGTTCTGCTTTTTTTAGGGTGCCCCTTTTCTTCTTGTTCCTGTTTTTTTGTTTACTTGGACACCAGCAGCAAGGGGCCAATTCCTAAAATTAGACACCTGTATGATCCCTTAGCCTTGCAGCATCGCTCAATGGAAAGAGAGGCAATGTCTGATTTTCGGCTCCGCCGGAAGCAAGTCAAGTCCGGCCGCTTCCGCGAGGCGTGGCTTTCCCCGGGGCCAAACCTATTTTTTTCGGCGCGCGTCTTCGGAGCCGCCGGATTTTGCGGCTTCGGAGTGCTTCAAGGTCCTTTCAAAATGGACGCAGCCGGCGTGCCGAAAGGGGCCGGTGTTGATTCAAGAATTTGGGGTCGCTCCTCTCTTTCGGCTTCCCTTTTGGCTTCGCCACAGGTGGGTTTGGCTTCAAAAAAACGGCTCGGGGAAACCAAAGCAATTGCGAGAGTTTAAGGAGGGCTGAGCCCCCAGGCCCAAGTTTGGGTGCTGGATTTTCTCGATGGTCTATGAAACCAAAGGCGGGGAGCGGCCTCCAGTGTGGAACCTGGGAACAGGTGTCTCTCAGGTGGCACTGGATCCCTTTGGCTTGTGGAACCTGGAAACAGGAGACATGCTTGGAAACCAAATGGACCCCTGCCCCTTTTCGTGGGTAATTACCTCTCCCCCTTTTAACATATGCCCAAGTGAGGCTTTCGCCAAGGGCGCGGCTTTGGGTTGCGAGCCCTCTCAGCTTCTTTCCGGGGTTCCCGAATTCAAGTACGTACCAACACTTGGTGGTTCCTAGCCATCCCCTTTGAGTTTTTGCCGTTGAGGGTTCAGTGGTAGTTTCCACGACGCTGACATAGAGGCATTTAGCAGGGGATCTGAGAACACCATCTTTCTCCCCGCAAATGCACTGCAGGTCGTCATTGTAGTTCGCCCAGGATAGAGACGCGACTGAGAGGTGGATGTATATCAGCAGCCGAACAAAACATCAAATGCTCAAAGATGCCCAACGCATGACACCCTTTGCCCTTTCGTTTGGTGTGGCCCCACCAAACAATTGTCATATTCCTATTGTTCGAGTAGAGTCGGAAGGATGGAATCGAGCTCCGAGCAAAGCTCCTTTTTCCATCAGGGTCACTGGATCCCCTCGTATTCTAGCACAAACCTTTCAATCTGCCAGAGAAGTCAAGCCTCCAAGTTTTGGCCGTTTGGATTTTGAGTCGAGATTTGGAAGCTTTGGGTTTCATGATTTCTTCACAATAAACCGAAATCCCAATGTGAGTTGGGGAATGCGAAGAAGCCTTAGACATTTTGGGTGTGGGATGCCTGGTATCTTCGTTGCCCATGTTTTTCCCACAAGCCACAAAAGGGTTGGGCGTGTCGAATTTTAGGGGACCTCCCCAAAATCGGTGGTTTCCTTTTGGCTTCTCTGTAAAAAACCACCAAAAAAATGGGTACCCCCTGGCTTCAACCTTCAGCCCGCCCCAGCCCCACCTCTTCACCCCAACTCCAAAATCAACTCTCCACCCCACCCCATCCACATCCTTGGGGTCTCCCATTGCGAAGCGAATCCCCCGAATCCGGCATCCGGCTGCGAGGATTTCTTCAAGCAGTCCTCCACAAGGCTCAACTTTATCATCGACCGCAATGTGGAGATGGTGATGGAAATCTTCGCGAAGCCCAGGCGGAACCGGGGCTTTTCCCGAACGGCTAGGTGCAACTTGCACCGTTTTCCTTTTTTTTGTGTTGGTTCCATCTTGAGGCTACCCGGACATGGCTCTTGGGACCCTTTCTCTATATATATATATATATATGTGGGTGTGTCTCAGAATCGGGCCCTCAAAACTGGTGGTTCCTTTTGGTTTCCCTTTAACACCTAGCCCAAAAAGGGCACCCAGCCAAAAAATACACACCCAGAAATTCAGATGTTCCAAGGGTTGGTTTACATACCCCATTTTACATACCTTTTTTTTGCAGGAATACTTGGTGGTTATTAAGGACCCTGTCATTTTATACCGGACCCCTGTCAAATTGTCCTCTTCGAAGCCCTGCGGCAAAGAAACTTGCTTCTGCCACAGCTTTGGCTCGGGGCGCTTTGGCTCCGTGCTTCAAACATCATGGACCCCCAAGGGGGGCTATGGGGGCTATCCCTTATTAAGCCCTTAATAAGGCCTTATTAAGGCCTTGGGCTATCCTGGGCTTATCCAGGGATAGCCCCCCCCATAGCCATAGCCCCCCCGAAGATTCCATGAAAACAAATCCTTCTCTTGCAAACATGCAACAAACACCCTGCCAGGCACGCAAAAATACATTTTTTTTTTTTTAAAAAAAACTGAGCAAGAAGAAACACATCATCACATCCATTCAGATGTGTCCACCGGCCCCCTGCCAATTTTTCCCTCGACCGCCCCCCCGAAATCGCTCCCTTTTCGACGCCAGGGACGTGGTGGAGCAGCTCTCGGCGCTGGGCCTGCGCCACGTGGGCTACCGCATCCCCACGGACCTGGTGCCGCCCTTTGTGGTGGCCGCCACCGAGGACGGAGGGCGAAGCCGAGGTGGCTTTCATGAATTGGCGAATCCACCGCCCAGTTGAGCGGATGGTATTTTTTGGGGTAGGTGAAACACCCATTTTAGCAGTTTGCGCTCGATCAATTTCACGAGGCCCCGTAACGAACATGAATTCCAAGTTTTTTCAGTGGATGGTAGTGTTTTGGGGTAGGTGAAAAAAGTCACCACCCGTTTTTTGTGTGCACCTTTGAAGCGAAACCGTTTTGGGATCCCATTTTGGGGCTAGGTGAATTCACTGGTTTAGATGGGGTTTCTTCCATTTACCAGGGTTATGTTTTTTTTGGGATCCCATGGGGTAGGCGAATTCACCACCCATTTTGCACCTGCGGATTGGGATGGGACTGTGCACCCACTTTAGTGCACCTGGCAGGTCCATTTTAGTGGATGGATTGGGATGTTCACTGGGGGCACGATTTGGGTTTTGACCCATGGCCATAAGGCTGTGGGTCAAAAATGGGAATCCCCAAAATGGGTTGCCCTGGTAAAATGGAAGCCAAGCATTAAACCTGCGGTCCCCTGGTGGTTGAATTTTGACGCATGCCCATATCTCATCCCCACCGCTTTAGACAGGGAATTGGGGGAGGGTGACCCCTGGAGTTCCGTTTATGATTCCATTTCCCTTGGATGGGGAAGACTGGAGAAATGGAATTGGGCACCCCCCCTGCCCCTTATGGTAGGGGAGATGACATCCCTTTGCAAAAATGGGTGGTTCGAATTTGTGTTTTGTTGAGGCATACCCCCTTTTTGGTTGGTTGCAAGGGAAACTAACATAGCACGTGCGGATCTCTTACACAAATGGGTGGCTCGCTATTTTATTTTGAGGCTCGGTACAGGGGGTCCCCTAAAACAGACACACCTATGTGAGGATTACTACGAGTTGTTTGAGAGAGTCACGCAATTTGTCCTTTTTTGGGTTTTGAGGGGTTTTGAGTTTTGTTATTTTTTCTTTCTTTTTTTTCTCCCTGTGTTTGGCGTTCACTAAACGAGAAGCCCGTTGAATGGGGTGCTAAGAACAGGTTCTGATCGCTTGCGCCAAAGGACAATCGTATGCGTAGCATCCGAAATGAGCTCATTTGTTGGAAGGCATTGAACCAACCAAGATACTATGGCCGTAGACAACTAGGGAACCCTGTAAGTGACAACGTAGCCCATCACAGGGATGGCCCACTTGGCACAGAAAGTGTCATTTCACAACCATGCTAAATACCGTGGATGGAACAAAATCCTGCACCAGTTGGTAGGCAGTTTGTCCCCGTATTCATGGAGCTTCTCATGTGCAATTATAGCAGGCTCAGCGATTGGGATAAATGATTGGTATAAATGATTGGGATAAAACGAGCTCACCCACTTTCTTTTTTTTTTCAGCGAAGGAGAGCGATACTAATTATAGTTCATACTAGTTGATGCAACAGCAGAACACGTTTGCTTTGAAACTGCTTCAGTCGAACACAGCGCATGGTGATGGGAATTGTTGCTAGGCAGGCCCGCCAACCCGAGATTCGAGCTTCAAAAGGAGGCCAGTGCCAAACCTATCCGTTCTTTCTCCCCACTTTGGAAATGTGTAGACCTGTTGGGCCCAACAGCCATGGCATGGGGCTTCTGCCGGCCGGCCTTTCCGGGTTCCGGAAGGGTTCAATCTTTTCCGGTCGGGGCTGGACGGAGCCTCCCAAGTCAGCCCGTAGTGGTGGAATGGGTCCGGCTCCGAACCGCCGGACCCGAGCTGATGGCGGGGGGATCAGTTGCAAGGAGCTCGCACACTGGACCACTCAGAGCAAGGCGGTGGAGGCGTGAACCGGAATCGACTTGGGCCTTATGGGGAGCCCACCGAATTTGGGGGGGGTTCCCGACTTTTTTGAGAGGCTGCGCTTTTCAGGTTGGCGTGAAGGGGCGCCGGGAAAACCTCCGTTTTGGGGTCCACATCCGCATTTTGACATGTACTTGCTTGGCAGTTCCCAGCCATGCGGGTTCTTAGCCTTTTGGAGACTTATGCCACGTCCCACTAAAGGTTGACACCCCTTTTAGGGATAAACAAACCACTAAGTTTCCAGAAAGTTCTCCAGCTTGTGAGATTAGGTTCTCTTTGAGCAAACATTTTGCATGGGTCATTGACTGTTTAGTCGCGCTGGGAATGTCATAAGATTCCCCCCCCCCCCCACCCTGACCCGCGCCCTTTAGGCTCGTCAGTGGGCAAGATTTGGTTTGAACAACTGGACCCTTGTAGTGTTTGAAAGAGGAGCCACACAGACGTCTGCACAATGTGCTAAACCCGGATAGATGAAGGTTAGTAAGGGGCAGTCCCAGCCGGAAAGAGTTGCGGCCGCCTTTCCCGCCTTTCCAATTCTTTACCTGGTCCTGGGTTCCCCATGTTTGTACCAGGTTTTGATTGTGACTCCTGTTTGTTTTGCTTGTGACTCATGTTTGAACCGAGGGGGGTCAATTGACCCCCACACGAGCGAGCGACTTGCCGAGTCTGCCAGGCGTTCTCCTGGTCCTTGAGCTTGATCTCGAAGATTCTGATGCGCGTCATTCAGCAAGGCGCTGCCCGATCGCGCGATGGAATTTTTCGGGTCCCAGCTGAAACGCCCACCCAAGAACGGGGGACAGATGAATCCTTTGGTGGGTTTAAAGAGAGAATTCTACCGGAAGCCGCCGGTCCCTTTAACTTGACTGCTATTGGGTTGGATCTTTAGACTTTAACTTTTCGGGAAATCAAGTTGGGTTTTCCACTAAATTCCCAAAAAGTGAAAACTTTTTGCAGGGGGGTCGTTCCAGCAACCAAGTTAATCCCTGGCAAATTTGGACGAGTTGTGGACTCTTCCAGTGGTACAGACTGCTGCAAAGCGCGAAATATCACCTGTCTTGCCCAACAAAACCTTGGTAGGGGTGATGTTAGGTTGGACGAATCTATGGAACAAGGGCTGGAAAAAGTATAGGGAACCCTTATAGGTTTTAAAAGCAGTGGGGAACCCTGGGCTGAGGGGCTGGAAAGTATGGGGACCCCTTATAGCTTGGCCAAATAAAAAACAAAAAAACATATGGGTGGGGGGGGGGGAAACGTTGCAGGCTCCACCATTGCCATGCTGGCCATCGTCACCAACGAGAAGCCGGCCCTCAAGAAGGCCATCGCACGCCGTTTTTTTTTTTTTTTCTCGGTGGGTGTGGGGCAAAAAAAAAAGGAATCCCCCAAATGGGTGGGTCTGGCAAATGGATGGAACACCTGCGGTCTTTTATTCTGGGATGGACTAAAACCTGCGGTCTAACTTGTATTCTGGTTTAATTTTGACCCATACACAGGTCACTTTTGGAACATAGATGGCATTGGTTGCAGCTTGCTTCTGCTCATTTAGTGCAATCTTTTTTTGCCAAAGGTCACCTATAATGGCAGTGCACCAAACACTTGCTCTTGGAACAGGAGTTTGTCCACAAACTCATGTTAGTTGGGAATCGCGCCATGACTCCCTTTCGAACAATCGTTGGTAGAATAAAGTAGGCTGGTTTCTCTATGGTGCCCTTGAAACAAATCAACCACCAAAACCAGGTGGCTCGCTACACCCATCTTCATGCAGGATATAGAGAAAATGAGAGACTCATGAGTTTGGTGGTAGCCTATTGTTGGTTTGGGGAGGACACGGAGACAACCCCGCATTGACAAAGACCAGCGGGCCCATTTATTGTTCGATGTCCGCTTGGGGAACAAAGCAGATTGTTGAGTCTAAGGGTTTTGGTGTCAAAAATTGCGGACCTTCCAACATCTTGGGCATTCCAGGGCTACGCTTTTTGACTACCCCAAGACAGACTTAAGCCCAGGGGTGGTTCGTTACCCCTTAAAGGGGATTTTTGTTGGTTTAAGTCTATCTTGGGGTAGTCAAAAAGTGGAACCCTGCTGTCTTCCGTTGGTTTCCTTTTGCAAATCTGACTTTGGTGTGCATGTTGCTTGGATGTTGGGACTTTAACTTTTTGCCAACGGATGAGTTTTCCATTAAACCCCTAAAAGTTATTCACTTTTAGCAGGGGAGCAGAAAGCAAACGAGCGAAGAAAGGATCGGGAGCGAGTTCCTCGCCCCTTCCCCCCGCAGGCCATCGCCCTGTCCCCGCGCAAGCATCGGGCCCGGGACTTGCTGGACGTGACGGCCCCTTGGGCCGAAAAAAGCTCCAGGGGTTCTCCAAAGAAAACCCCCACGGTGGGGCTGAGAGCTACCTTCTGAGTGGGAAACAGAATCCTAACTGCGAGGCTGGCAACCTGCTGTGGATGGTTTCGAACTCCTGGGAAAAGCAAAAAGTGCCATGTTCAAGGGGAGTCGCATCATTTCCATGGGGCCACCGACAAGCACTGCTCTGGATGGACGAAATCCATTTCGCACCGATTCGATTCCCCTGTAAATACCAACGAACCATGGGTTCAACCATGGTTTCAACGTGGTGCGAAATGGATTTGGTCCATCCACAGTAGGGTGGGCTCAGAGCTACCTTTGGGTGGGAAAAATATTCTAGCTTTGAGGCTGGTTTGCGGATTTTGACAAGCTTTTTTGAACACCAACGCCAGAAGGAAAACTGCAATTTTGGAGGGGCGTAGTGTTCGGGTTTCCAACGAACCTCGCTTAGGGAATTGAGCGCCCAACACCGATTCCAATTGCCATTTTTACCGTGTACTTTGGCTTTATAGGGTTATTAGGAGCTATGAAGCTGCTTTGAACCAACAGTCAACGCTTTTTGGGCGCTTGAGGCAAACTGCTCCGATGCTGTAAACCTAGAAAGTCAGACCTGTTTTTGTATGATTTGCCACAAAGATGTTTGTGTCATGGGGCTGGGGGGGGAGGGAGGGGGGGGGGAGGGAGCCCCAATAAGTCCCAAATAAGGCCTTATTAGGCTCCCTCGCCCCCAGCCCCCATGATTTTGAGCAATATAGATGTGTGGGGACATTCGCTCATACTGAGAACCAGGTGAAAGTCCTTTTCTTTGCTGATCTCTGACATTTCCTCTGTGTCGTCTTAAGGGACAAACATCAATGAATGTTTTTGTTCAACATATTCATGGATGAAAAGGGACCTCATGTTAAGGTCATTGTAACCAACAGATGTTATTTGGGGCAACATCAAATTTATGCCCTATTGCAGAAGGAACCTACTTGTGGGGCACCCTCCTACCAACAGAGAAATTAACACAGGCCCTTTTCAACAGGAAGTATTTTTCTTCTAAATTCGGATCCTCACCAAACCGCGTGTTCATTGAGTTGGGAGGGCGACGACTTGTTTCAGCGGGGGATTTCTGGGTTACGACCCGTCGACCCGGTCGAGCCTTTTCGATCGCTTCGGTTCCGTTCTTGTTTGGGAGGACCCGCTCAACGGGTTGCGATCCCCAATGATCCAATTTGAGAACCCATTTGGGGAATTGGACGCGTCGCAGGCTTCACTTGGCCCAAGCCACATTTTTGCGTTTTCTCGCAACGCCCTCGGGTCACACATGGCTGTGGGTCAAAACCTAACCAATGGTACCATTTTGGGGTATGTGAATTCACCACCCATTTTAGAACCTATTTTAGTGGTTGGATCGAATCAGATGTCACTGCGAGTGCGGAATTTTGGATTTTGAAAAGGCCATGGCGACATGGCCCAAGGTTGTTTCCAGCAAGTCCCTCGCTTTTCGGATCGCTCGGATTTTTGGGTCGAGGTGGGCACTCAGTCCATCTCTCCCTTGATGTGGTCCATCGAGAGCGGGTCCCTCTGCAGCGCGGAGGCCATTATCGAGGCACGGGCGGGCGGGCGAAACGAGCGGCGGAGGTCCCACGCGCACGAAGCCGAGGCCGAAAGGTTCGAGATGGTTCGACTGGTAGGGGGGGTTGTTTCAAAGGGCCTTGTATAAACCTTGAAATTGAGAACCATGTTGCTAGAACCAAAAGTCGAGGATTTTGGACGCTGCTCAATTCCTGCAAAAGCTGCTTCGATAGGCAGGGGATGAGTTGGAATGACCCCGAAATGAGCCCTTTAAACGCATCCCTCGGTTCGGTTTTCAATATCTCCCGTTGATTTCCTGAGAGCCCTCAAAGCGGGGACCGTGTGGAAAATGGTCGGCATTCAGCTGAGTCGAGCAGGTTGCAACAATGGGTAGTTTAAATGAGCAAATGGTGCGTTTCCAAGCGCCCAGTCAGCCAGTTGGGGAGGTGTTGCATTTTTTTCTCTGCACATGTTTGGGCATAGTTGATGGTTTACTAGTGGACTCGAACGATGTGGTCCTTATCGGTCGCGAAACTGGGCCCCTATGTTTGAGAGTCAATGTGTTTGTGAGAAGCTAAAAAGGGTTCGATAGGCCAATGCCCATGCTTACGGGTGTCTGTTTTTGAGGCGACCCCTTTTTGGGGTTGGTTTAGAGGAAAGCCCAAAGAAGCATATTTGTTTGGCACCCTTTGACACATACCCTTTTATCTCATTGGTTCTGAGTAGCCAATGAGGGAATGACTCTTCCAAACCGTCCCTTGTGGCTTCCTCTAAGGGATCCCTAGGTTCATTGCCAACACCACTTCCGATTTCTTACTGAGAAGCAGCAAGACAACTTGCCGTGCGCCTTGCCCCACTTCCTCTCTTGGGCCATCGACTCTCCCTAAAGTGCCGCCCCGCCCTGTCAGGCTCCGATGATTCCTGGGCTTTTACACTGTCTTGTGCCTTAGGTTGGCTTCCCTTAGGTTGGCTTAGGTGGCTGTGGGTCAAAACCAATGGTACCATTTTGGGGTAGGTGAATTCACCACCCATTTTGGAACCTATTTTAGTGGGGATGGGATGTTCACTGTACGATTCGGCTTTTGACCCATGGCCAGGTTGGCTTCCCTCCAACACCCAAAGAAGCGGCAGGGTGGATATCGATCCGTCAGGACTTGCTGGTGATCCGCGCGGATCGGGATGTCTACTACTACGGGGCCCCGGCGCTGTTCCGAAGGCATCCGGATGTGATCCACCGGATGTGCCACAGCCCTCCGGCTGCAACGGGGTCCTTTTGAGGTTAGTTTGGTCAAAAATACATTGGTTTCACTGGTTTATGATGGGGTTTATTCCATTTACCAGGGAAACCCATGGATTTTTCCAAAAGGCCACCTATGCCTCCGGCTGCAACCCGCAAAACCCGGGAGAGGGGGGGGGAAGGGGGAGAGGTGGTTGGGGAGGCGGGGGTTGAACCCTCTGGCCACCGGGGGGGGGGGGGGGGTTGGGCCTCTGGCAACTGGCAACACGGGGAAAGGGAACTGCCGAGATGCACTCTGGTTTTATTTGGTTGCCCCAGAAGCAGCGCCGTAATCTCCACAACAGACACCAGGCCAATTCAAAGTAAGCCTCCTATGGTGTTGAGAGTTAGGGCGCTGAGACAAACCATAAGCACCTGCTAATCTGAATGATAATGATCAGCAACCCATCTTGAGGGATAGCACCATATCAGGGCTCGATCCAATTATCCAATTCCCCACAGAAATCACATATGTTTTGCACCTGCGCGGATTTCCACGGGGCGATCCGATCCTTTGCGTGTCGCAAGTCCGGGTAGCACCAGTTTCACTTGCAGGGGGGACTAGGATCCCACTGACCTCACAGTCGAAATTGGTAGCACCCGGCCAGGGTGCCCTGGGACCGCAGGGGCTGTCATCAGTCAGGTAGAACCCGAAGTGGATGGTTTTAACGGGTCAGATTGGGCGTTGAAAACCCCAAAAGCGATGGGAGTGGGCTGCAACTCAACTCATCTAAGGAGACCACGCCTTTTTTTGCCACCAGTTCAGCGCGGCTCCAACATGTCCTTTTTGGGTCCCGCCTAAAGCAGCTGAAGCCTAGTTTTTTCCCCAAAATTGATGACCCATCGATAACCCCCTGGCCTGAGTTCGGACGGGGTACCGCCAGGTGTTCGGAACCCCAAGCACCGAAAGTTTCTTCGAGGGCTCCGAATCAGCAAGGTGATGTTGGTTCACAAGTTCTTGGGCGAGTTCCCTTTAGGCTAGTTTATTTAGGTGAGTGTATAGTAACTTTTATGTTCTGATCACAGCACATGACAGCAAAGATGGACCGCTCATATTGGGCTCTGCAAACTCAACCCGGTAGAGCGCCTCAACTGTTGGTTTGAGGGTGGTATGCATAGGGGTCCTTTTTAGGTAGGTTAGTTAAAAATAGATGGGTTCCACTGGTTTAGATGGGGTTTGTTCCACTTACCAGGGCCATCTATTTTTCCAAAAGGCCACCTATGGTGGTATGTGGTTTCTTCCCGTGAGTATAGCCACGGGCCCAGGTGCGCCCAGCCTGCTCACCCCGCTGCTGGAAGGTTTGATTTGGCGCTCCCGGCAAACCAACGATGGCTTCAGGCGCCGCATCCGCCGAATCCGCTGAATCCGCCGAATCGAAGTCTAGATATCTGCATGGTTCTCAGGGAATGAGTCGGGGAATGACGCCCAACCGTTCCTTGAGGTGTTTTTCAAGGGCATCCCTAGGGGTTTTCTCATTCTGTTTTCCCCTCTCTTTCCTGGTGAGAAGCGGCAAGGTGTTGGCCAAAGTCAAAACATGGCAGGGCGATTTGGGAATCAAGAAGCCAAAACCAATCTGAAGGGCAATTGAAGGCTGGCATTCAGAGTCTACCGAAGCGGAAGATCTCGACCAACCCAGCTTTCTCTGCCATCAGGGGATGGTGGACCGCTTTGTGAGTTCCAGATGGCGGTGGGTCTCTTGAAGTTTCTGGTTTTTCATTCCCAAAGCTCGGTGTCCCTTGGTCGTTTGTGTGTAAGCTCCAGAGGTGAAAGCTACCGGGACAGGAGGCCCTTTGCCAAGTTTTGGCTACCCGGAGGTTGCCGTGGTATCTTGAATTGCTCAGCCAGCATTTCCAGCCCACTTGAACTTTCGCACAGGGAAACCAGATGAACTTGGTGGCTCCCAGCCATCCCTTTAGCCCTTTCCGCTTTTTAGTCTTAGTGGTAGTTTCCCTTTAAGCCACTAAAAGTTCGTCGCTTTGCGCGGGGGATCTGAGGGTGTGGTGAAGAATGGCATTTTGGGCTTTCGTCCAGAACCCCCCCCCCCCCCGCCAATTGAGAAAACCAGGCCCCTCGGGCGATGCTCTCACATTTTGAGGGCGCTGAGGCTCCGATTTGTTCTTTGGTTGCCAGCTCAAGATGTGATGCTGTTCCCCTTGCTTTGGCAGAACATCCAACCAAACTGGCCTAAGCCGCTGGATGCGTTGGTTGCTAGTGTGCTCTTTCGCTGGCCCTTTTCGGAGAAAAGAATGTTCAGGATCTCAGACGTCTCTCTGGGTTTCAGCCTCGGAGAGAGGGCTGTGCAACCCGCGCGTTGATCGGTGGATCCCTCCCTCTATGTTTTGTTGTGGGCTCCCCACCAGCAACATTCGCGACCCTGGAAAACTTGGGAACCCGCCCCATTTGTGCCAGGTTCTGCTTAGATCCGAGATCGCGATGACTGGCGATTTGTGAAAACATGCTTATAGAAACCACAAATCAGTTCAGGCCCTGCTGCTCGTATGGTCATACTGTAGATAATGTCATGCAAGCGACTGACAACACTGAGAGCTGATGTGGAATGAGCAACATTAGAACGCATTCGTACAGGACATGCAAAATCTTGGCCACCTGATTTTGGCGCCGGCGGACAAGCAGAGGGGGGGAGGGGATTGCAACCGCGGAATCGCGGCCTGGAACGCTGGTTTGATTCGATACGCAAAATCACCCTTCAACTGGTCAGGGAACTTGCACCGTCTCGGACTTGACCTTTCACCCCAAAAAGCCAAGGGTCTGGACGAAGATCCAAAGTTCATATACTTCATGTACGGAACGCCTTTGGTTTCATGCAAAAGGGAGTAATGTCCATGAAAAACAGTGTGAAAAGGTTCTCAAGGCTATGTTGCTTTTCTTTCCACAAATGGTGTAGCCCGACTTGTCAAAGAGTAACTGCACTAGTCAAGAGGTCCCCTTTCCAGTTTTTCTTTTTTCAACCGCGAACGACATGAGCTTTAGTGCCCCAAATTTTTGGTGGACACAAATCCCAGCCCAAATGATGTCAACTAGAGAGGGTTCAACCACTAAAAGTTAAACTTTTAGCCGGGGAGCAGAAAGCAACCGAGAAAAACAAGCTTTTGACCGGCTCAGACGGACTTTTCGGCTGTTTGCGCAAATCGGAGGCGTGTGAACTACTACATCCAGTACTTGATTCAGGAGAGGGCTACAAGTGAAGGCAAAGGTCATCATATTGTGTATAAGTAGCATTCGCATGTGTGTGTGTGTGATGTGTGGTGTGTGGTGTGTGGTGTGTGTGTGTGTGTGTGGTGTGTGTGTGTGTGTGTCTTGAACAGCCTCTTCGGCTCTCAGGTGTCATGTCCTCAAAGGCTAGGCTCAAAGGCTCGATTTCACCCGAGTCACTTACAAACAAAAACACGGGTAGATGAAGGTTTGTGCGGGGCGATCTCAACCATAAATGGGCGCGGATATCCGGCTTCCTAATCCTTGACATGGTTCTGGGCAAATCGTTTTACTACCGGGTTTGACTGTGACTCACCTGGCAATGCTGAAGCGTGGAGAGGTTTCAATTGGGAGCCTGCAGGGATGGGAGGCGACCGGGTAGCCGAAAAATCCAACTCACTCGGGTGGGGAGTAAAACATCGGAAAGTGTCTTTTGGATAAATGCCGCAACAAAATTCTTTGGTTTTTGGAAGACTCCTTTGGGCGAACTCCACCTGGGATGAATGAAACCCTATGAATGGGACAAATCACCCAACTGGAGCGAGTTTGCCATCCACGGTCGAGTTCCCTATATTTCCCCTTTTGTTCTTTTTACATCGGGCTGTCCTGACACGTACATCATCCGCAACAGGAAGCTTGCGCGGTGATTTTGTGTCTGAGTGTCCTTGTGGGGTGGGGGCGCTTAGGCGGGGAAAATGTAGAGAGCCCTGGCTGTTCAAAGGCAGTCTTGCAAGATCTTTGGGGTGAACAACTTGCTGGTGCTCTGTAGGGAGTGAGGGAATGACCCCTACAAACCATCCAACTAGTGGTTTCCTTTAAGGAAATCCCTAGGTTTCCCACCTTCCCTACCTATCGCAACGAAAAGAAAAGGGCTCCGTTCTGGTTAAATGGTTCTAGGGTCCACCAAAATCTCACGTGGCCCACGTCTAGGATCTGGAGGGCAACTTCAACGACACCTTCTTGTGGCTGGTGGAGTTCGCTGACCCCAAGGCGGAGCGCGCACTCGTGCCAAGGTTTCGCAAGAGTCGAAGACATGGCGCCCCTGCGACGATTCTTTTTTGGGGGGAAAGGCGGTGCGAAGTGAAGAGACGATCATGGAGCCCCGAGGCGAAATATGATTTTGGGGGAATTGCAGCTGGAAAGTGCTGATGGCACATCTGGGCCTGCGACTCTGTGCGCCTACTGGGCTGAGACCCCAAAATCAGGACTTCCCTCAGGGGGGCGGTTTGGCCAGTCGAACGTTTCCGCTCGGCTGGATGCAAAAGGTGCACTGAAAACATCCGAGTGCCCCTTGCTGGCTTGGGCCACTGGGCGTTTTCTGAGGTCTGTTGCCTGAATCCCTTGTTGATGCGCTGCCGGCCCAATTGCTTGATTGCCTGGCTTCCTTTTGGTTGACTCGTTGCTCTTCTGACGCCACCAACATCCCTTCAACAGATGCGTTGGCTCAACACGAGGGATGCAAAAACGGGTTTCACGTGTTGCTGCTTGAAGGTCGGGGACATGATGTTCGGGAGCCGCTCCTCTTCTCCGGTGAATCTCAGGTAGAGAGTTTGGAGGTATGGAGCTGACATGCCACTTGTACAACATCATGTATATACTGCCTTACACACTCATATCAGTGGTATTCAGCCTCCATACCTCCCAAACCATTAAACCCATACGCTCAAAGACTGGCTCCTGTGATCATGAGTTCATTTGGTTTCACATACCCCACGACCTGTTGGTTGTGTAAGTCCTCAAAGTATCCCAGAACCCTTCAAACCTTCCAAGAGCATACCGACCCATGTTGGGAATCACAATAGCTTGGGTTCTCAGACCGGAGTTGGCCATTTGTGTTCAAAGAGGGGTTGGGGTGGTCCGGGGCGGTTTTGAGGTAAGGTTTTACGAGGGTTCCCAGCAGGGCTCCACCAGGGGTTCCACCAGGGGTTCCACGAGGTTCTGCGAGAGCTGGGTGGTGCGAGCACCAAAAAGAGCACCGCATACTGGGGATATTACCTGAGCCAGGCGAAACCACAGGCAACGCCTTTTTTTCTCGCGGCATGTTGGGGGGTCCAACCCTAAGACAGGCCATAAACCAAAAAAAACATGTCCCAAATGGCCTGTGTATCGTCTCCTTAATGTTCTGTGCCAAGAGACAAGCCGTGCGCGGCCTTCGCCCAACCCGACCCAAACGGGGCGCGCGCGCAGGTGGTGTCTCACCCTGCCGTGGTCCTCGCCTCCGACCTGACCTGGCGGGGCCTGGCCAGGAAACAATTCACCTTGGGACCCTTGGCGAAACCACCTGACTGCTATTGGGTTGGATCTTGGATCTTTTGACTTTTTGGTTGAAATCAAGTTGGGTTTTCCACTGGTTGGATCTTCAGACTTGAACTTTTTAGTTGAAACCAAGTTGGGTTTTCCACTGGTTGGATCTTCAGACTTGAACTTTTTGGTTGAAATCAAGTAGGGGTTTCCACCAAACCCCCAAAAAGTCGAACTTTTTGCAGGGGGGTCGACAGCAACCAAGACCAGACTCGCCTAGCTCCAAGCAGGCAAGCACAAGCGCGCAACCCTTTTTTTCGCAGCCTGGTTTCAAAGACACATAAACCTTTGCCATCTTGGTAGAAAACTCAAAGGCAGTGGGTTCAAATATGTGCTTGTGTGTGCGTGTGTGAGTGCGGGTGTGGGTGGGTGGGTGCGATTTGTTTTTCAGGGTAATTTCCCTTTCAGATTGGTTTGATAGCCTATTTTGGTGGGCATTGGGATGTTCACTGGGGTATGCGGTTTGACCAATGGCCATTCTTTTGACGCTTCCCTTCTTGGAAGGTGCAATTTGCACACTGCCTATGCGGTTTTTGTGTTTGGCAGTTGCAATGGGAGAGGCGGCTGTTTGTCTTCATGCTTTTAGTTGTTCCCTCTTTGACTGGCCTTGGAATTGCGATCCCACACAATCCATGTTGGGTCTCTATATTATCGATGTGTCTTGTTTCGCCAAACAGTGTCTCTACACTAGGGGGTCCTTATAGTAAGAGAAAGGGGCCGTGGTTAGATCAGGGTGCTCGCTCTGGGCGGGCCGGACCATTTTTCGCGTTATTTACGTGCGATCGTGACTTTGCAAAATCTGGCAATGCATTTTGGCCGCGCAGGCTCGCGCAAAGTGGTTGGCTGGGTTTGGCGTCTTTCGAGGGAGTGCTCTCCCTGTGGTGTCGTGCGAATTCCAAAAACAGTTCGTTGATGAACCCTCTGCGGTCTTTGAATATTTTGGATCGCTCTCGCTGTGGCGTGGTGCGATTTTTTGGCATCAGGTCGGTCGCTCTCGCAGTGGCGGGGTGCGATTTTTTGGCATCAGGTCGGGCGAATTTTGAGCATCGAAAGTGAACGCTCTGCTTTGCGTGGGTCGGGTCGATTTGGCACGGCGCGAATTCGGAACACCAAGGCCTTCTGGCGGGGCGGATCGCTCTCGCTGCAGCGCGGTGCGCGCATCAAACGTGAATCCTCTGCGAACTTTGGGCGGGTCGGATCGCTCTGACTGCGGCGCGGTGCGAATCTTGAGCATCGAAAGTAAGACTTTGGGCGGGTCGGAGCGCTCTCGCTGTGGCTCGGTGCGAATTTTGAATGTCGGAAAGTGAACCCTCTGCGGACTTTGAGTGTGTCAGATTGCTCTCGGCGCAGGGTGCAACCATCGAAGCACAAACATATTGCTCATGGGTCCTGCGCACAAAACTTGCCAAGATCCTACCAAGAGATCCTATCCAGAGATCCTATACAAAGATCTTGCCAAGAAATCCTATCAAGAGATCTTGCGCAGAGATTGTCTGAACATCCTCCCAGAGATATCTCGCGCTGGTCCTTCATAGGGATCCTTTAAAGAGAGCGATTCCCCTCCAAGTGATCTTGTAGAGGGTGCTCAGATGTTGAACAGAGAAATTGCACACAAATGGCCTTTCCAAGAGAGCCTATCCAGACATCTTGCGCAGAGATCCTCCAAATATCTTAGAAAGATCCTCCCATGCATACTTTGCGCTCGCCCTGCGCAGAGAGTCCTCTCAGAGATCGGGGAAATCTTGAGAGCCCTGTGTTTGGGCCGCCGAGGCCAGACGTACTTCCTCGCTACCATGGTCGCCTTCATCGTGAGCCAATGCCTGACAGTAGAGCACGATTACCATACTTCTCTGGAGGAGCGAGGTTTGTGCCCCCCATTTTGGGCGAATTTGGGGTGCTCCTGGGGAACAGCAAGAAAGCGTAATTTTCAGAAGGACAATGAGCTCTTCCATAGCTTAAGGACCGCGGTCCGAGGTCAGAGGCCAAGTTCTGAGGTCACCGCGCACGCGCTCACTTGCGCTTCCAGTGCCAAAAGCAGACGCGGACACACAGACACAAACAAGGAAGCTCAAACAGAAACGCGGCACGCTCACAGACGCAAACGCACAACCGCACAAACACGCAAACACATGAATGAACAAGCAAAGACAAACAAACACGCACTCGCACAGACACGCAAACACAAACAGACACAACGACACAAGGACGCAAACATACAACCGCACAGCCCCACAAACGCGCAAACACATACAAGCAAGTTCAAACAACGCACAGACACGCAATCAGAAGCGTAAACGGACACAAAGACACAAGGATGCAAACGCACAACCATACAGCCAAAAGAAGAAACAACTACATAAGCATGCAAAAGCAATTACACACACACTCATAAACACACAGACATGCACACACAAACGCGAACACACACACACAGGCACAAAGAGGCACAGACACAAACACAAAACCACACAACCACACAAACACACACACAAACACAAACGCGCAAACACAGACACACGCACACAAACATACTCGTACCGTACACAAGCGCATCACAGACACGCATACAATGACACGGCAAACGCACACACAAATGCAAAAGCGCACAATCACGCAAACGCAAACACACACACGCACAAACACACACACAAACACGCAAACATAGACACCAAAACAATCAAAGACACGCAGACCCAACCACACCCACAAACACAAAACACAAAGACACACGGGGACACACAGAAAGAAACAAAGACACAAAGACACAGAGACACACGCAGACAGACACAAACAAACACATGCGCACACACACACACTTACATGCACAAACGCGCAAACACAAACACAATGACAACCACACGCAAAGACACGACGGCGCAACTACACACAGACACAACACAGCCGCGCAGGCGCGTCAGCAATGAACGCACAAACGCGCAAACCCACGCACAGAGAAACACACATAAACACCCGCAAGCACACAGTACACGAAGCACACACATACACAAAGACACAAAGACACACACACACACAAAACCCGGCAAGCGCAGAAACACACGGCCGCACAAGCGCACAAATATATCAGCGCACAAATGCGCAGCCACGCAAAAAGAAATACATAAACATAGACATACACAGAGAAACGCGCGAACCCAAGAACAAACACACTCACAAAGACACAAAAACACAATGACACAATCACACAATCACACAAATACACAAGCACGCAAACGCGCAATTATGCCAACACACAAAGAAACACACACACACACAAACACACTCAGACGCATACAGCCGCACAACCAGCGCAGGCACAAACGCAAACACACACACACAGGCACAAAGACGCAACCACACAAACACACCAACGCGCAAACGCTAGAACACAAACACCCGCACACCGAAACACACAAACGCACAATCGGGCAAACACACAAACAGACACACACACACATAAACACGCGTAAACGCGCAATCAGAAGCAACGCACCAAGACACAATGACACACAGACACACAGCCACACACACGCAACCGCGCGAACAAAGACTCAAAGACGCACGGACACACACAGACACAACCGCACAAACACACAAACACAAGCACACTTACACACTGATGCGTTCACATGAACACGCAAAGGAAACACACACACAAAGGCACCAAGACTCAAAGACTCGCAGACACAGACACACAGACACGAACGCACAGCCACAAACACACACACACACACCCACACACCCAAGCACGCAAACATACAAGCACGCAAACACTGAACCAAGCAAACGAACAAACCAATAATCAAATAAACCAACCAGCAAAGAAACAGACACACGCGCGCACGCACACGCACACACACACACACACCTTTGTGAAAAGACCCACTGGCGCACGAATACCAGCTTGCGACATACACAGACATAAGCACACACACACACGTCCTATCAGGAGTGAAACAGCTGCCAGTAGTTGACCAACAACCTTGTATGTATGTATGAATACAGTCATAGCTATCTTTTAGGCCCTTATTTTGCACAGAAACACAAATAACACGCAAACGCACCAGCACTCAAGCGCACCGCACACAAACATACAACCACACCGACACACGCACAAGCGCACACGCAACCACGCATGCGAACACACACGAAAACACACACACACACACACGCCCACGCCCACGCCCACGCCCACGCCCACGCCCACGCCCACGCCCACGCCCACGCCCACGCACACGCCCACGCCCACGCACACGCACACGCACACGCACACGCACACGCACACGCACACGCACACGCACACGCACACGCACACGCACACGCACACGCACACGCACACGCACACGCACACGCACACGCACACGCACACGCACACGCACACGCACACGCACACGCACACGCACACGCACACGCACACGCACACGCACACGCACACGCACACGCACACACACGCGCGCACGCGCGCACGCGCGCACGCACACACACGCACACGCGCACACGCGCACACGCACACACACACGCACACACGCACACACACGCACACACGCGCACACACGCACACACGCACACACGCACACACGCACACACGCACACACGCACACACGCACACACGCACACACGCACACACGCACACACGCACACACGCACACAAGCACACACGCACACACGCACACACGCACACACGCACACACGCACACACGCACACACGCACACACGCACACACGCACACACGCACACACACGCACACACGCGCACACACGCACACACACGCACACACGCACGCACACGCACACGCACACGCGCACACGCGCACACGCGCACACGCGCGCACACACGCACACACGCACACACGCACACACGCACACACGCACACACGCACACACGCACACACGCACACGCGCACACGCGCACACGCGCACACGCGCCCACGCCCACGCACACGCCCACGCCCACGCACACGCACACGCACACGCACACGCACACGCACACGCACACGCACACGCACACGCACACGCACACGCACACGCACACGCACACGCACACGCACACGCACACGCACAAACAAACAAACAGACAGACAGACAGACAGACAGACAGACAGACAGATAGACAGACAGACAGACAAACAAACAAACAAACAAACAAACAAACAAAAACAAAAACACACCAACGTACCAACATACCAACGCAGGCACGGGTGCAACGACGGTGCGACAACGACAGCGACAGCGACAATAACAGCAAGCGCAGCCACAACCACAAGGACCAAACACAAGCAACAACAACCAGCAGCAACCAGCAACCAACAACAACCAACAACAACCAACAACAACAGACCACCAATCACCGTGGCGGCTTTTTGTCGGCTGCCAGGAGAACGTGGTGAAGTTCGTGTGCCGGGTTTTTATCTATGTATGCAGTTTGCCGTCCCTGCTCTTCGAGCTCGCCAGGCGCGGCAGACGCGAGGTCTTGTGTTGTCGATGGCCTAAGGTATCAGGTCCATCGATTTTCCCCCCAAAAGGGCAAGAATCAATTGCATCCATCTATTTTGGTTGACCTGGTTGCCCATGCATTTTCCTGAAAAGGACACCTATGTGGATGAAGAATGAACTGAAGTGCTGAGTTCTCAGTTTTACTGAAATGGGACATTTCAGAATGGGGTTTATAGTTGCCGCTCTCTGGGTGTGCTAGAGCCAAGCCTTCGGGGGAAATAGGCCCCTACTAGTCCGGGTTCTACTGAAAACCTGATCTCTTTCAGCAACTTCGGCATCTCGAGTGAGTCGTGGGAATCCAATTCCGGCAAGACTTGCCACAAAACTTCGAGTCACTTGAGATTGAATGATCCCTTTCTTGCGGCGCCGTTCTTGTTCTTTCTCCCCTTTTCTTGTTTCTGCGTCCGGGCATTGCTTTCGCAACGCACTCGTTCTTGCGCGAGCTCCTTCTTTCTTTCTTTTTTCGCCCCTTGGATCGCTCGCTCTTCCGAGGCTGATCGCTCTAGACTTCATGCGCGGGAGAATCCGGCGCTTCTGGTTTCTGCCAATTCCACAGCGGCTTTGCAGCTTCTCAAAGGCGAAGCTGGACACGGAGAGAGAGGGAGAGGGCCTGTGCCGACGGCAATCCGACGTTTTGGGTGTGTTGGGGGTGTTTTGGTCCAAGGGATGCCTACCGTTTCATCGTTCAGCCATGGTTACCTTTTGGCTGAGAAGGAGCCGCGTTTGTAGTACTGTTGCCGCCCTTGAGGTTCAAAATTCAATTCTTCCCTGTGCTTGTCGGAGAGAAGGTTGGCAGGAATTGCTTTGCTCAAAAAATCGGCAACAGGTAACCTGCTTCAGCATTCACCGACCTGAAAGAAGCACTTGAGGAGAAGGCACCTGCAAACGCCTAGTCCGCAAGTCGAATCTGATTTCCTGGAGGGTGTCATGACGCACTGTCCTCTGTGAGTTCCATATGCGGAAGAACACGTTCTTTCTGGCGGCGATGCGATCGAACGGCTTAGATTGCTTGGGGTTCGGCCACTGGAAACGGTTTAAGGTCGGGGGGCAAATGTTGGCGGACATCTACTCAGGGCTCTTAATGCGGTTCACCCTGTTTTGGTTGGTAAAGTGAAGCTAGACAGAGGCCAAGGCCACAGTGTTGCGAGGCGTTTTCGCAGGGTGGTCGAGTTGAGCGCCCGTATGAAATTCCATAGGGGACCTCAAGACATGGCTAGTGGACATGAACTCCCACAAGAGACCCACCAAAGGGTCCCCTTGTCAAATCCACGCCCACATGCAAATAAATAAATCGATAAACAACTAAATCAATAAACATTAAAACAAATAGCACAACAAATGATAAGTAACAAGCAAGCAACAAAACAAACAAACAAATTTAAGGGCTGCCGCCCAGTGCCGCCGACCCCAGTTTGCGGTCAGGGAGCTCTTCAGACGGACAAATGTCAGCACAAAAAATCGTGTATGTATGTATGTATGTATGCATGTATGCAGGTAGGCATGCATGTAAGGACGATGACGAAGAAGATGATGATGATAAGCACCGTGATGATGCTGATGATGATGATGATGATGATGAACTGACATGATAATCATGATGACGCATCCTCAGCACCACCAGCAGTCATCATGATAATCATGTCCGCGCATCTTCTGCATCTCAAATCGGGTCTAACGGGACACTTGAAACGTATATAAAAAAAGATAAGGACGATGACGAAGAAGATGATGATGATGAACACCAACTGACATGATAATCATCATGACGCATCCTCAGCATCACCAGCAGTCATCATGATAATCATGTCCGCGCATCTTCTGCATCTCAAATCGGGTCTAACGGGACACTTGAAACGTATATAAAAAAAGATAAGGACGATGACGAAGAAGATGATGATGATGAACACCAACTGACATGATAATCATCATGTCATCATGATAATCATGTCCACGCATCTTCTGCATCTCCAATCGGGTCTAACGGGACACTTGAAACGTATATAAAAAAGATAAGGACGATGACGAAGAAGATGATGATGATGAGCAGAGTGATGATGATGATGATGATGATGATGATGATGATGATGATGATGATGATGAACTGACATGATAATCATCATGACGCATCCTCAGCATCACCAGCAGTCATCATGATAATCAAGATAAGGACAGCGGCGACGACCACCACGCCGATGATGATGATGATGATGATGATGATGATGATGATGATGATGAATCTTCGGTTATGCTCATTTACCAGCCAGCCTTGGACTTGTAACCGCCCTTCCCGTACGCCTCCCCCTTTGAGGAGAAGGGGTCGGCGGATAAACAAACAAACAAACCAACAAACAAACAAACAAACAAACAAAAACAAACAAACAATCAAACAAAAACAATCAAGCAAAAACAAGCAAACAACAATCAAACAAAAACAATCAAGCAAATACAATCAAGCAAACAAAAACAAAAACAAACAAACAAGCAAACAATCAAATAATCAAACACACAAACAAGCAATCAACCAAAAACAATCAAACACAAATCAACAATCATACAAATAAACAAACAAACAAGCAAGCAAGCAAGCAAGCAAGCAAGCAAGCAAACAAACAAACAAACAAGCAAACAAACAAGCAAACAACCAACCAACCAAACAAACAAGCACACAAACACACAACCACACAAACAAAAGCAACAACCAACCAAACAAACAAACAAACACACATATATATATATATATATATGTGTATATGTACATATGGCTATAGAGTCGTCAAGAGTTGAACGCAGGTCAAGCAACGTGTCGTGCCTGCGAAAACGCTTCTTTTCAGGGCTCGGATCGCAGCTGCACGTAGGAAAACTCAGGGCAAGCCTGTTGCTTGCGGAACGCCTCAAGTACCAGCTGCATTTCTGTCTTTATATTCTCGCCCAAGTTCATACTCTGCTTCTGAGGGTTGTTTAGTGCTGAAGGCTTCTGAGTCTTTGGCAGCTCAAGACATATGTGTTGGTAGCCAAAAGATCCCAAGTCCACGAGTGCGTCCGAAACAGAGGCTCAGCCCAGTGAGGAATACCTGCAGCCGCGCTAGAGTCGTCGCCCAGAAGATATCTTGCTTGCGCAAGCACCGTAGATTGAAATGCGTCAACATCAACTCCGGCTCTTCCAAAGGTGTGTTTGGCATGTCCGGAAGAGGCACCGCTACCAGACGCAGCAGGCGTGCGGAACGCAAAGCACGAAGGAGGCGGCCAGCCGAGCGACCCGGCTCCCCAATGTGGGACTCCCACAAAGATCGAGCGGAGATGTGCCTGGGCCCGGGGAGGACCCAAGGCAACAGCGACCTACTAGCATCATCGAACATGTACTGTGCACGAATGCTAAAAGCTAATCTGGCGGCAGAGCCAGGCCGCTGTGAGAGTCATCCAGTGTTGAAACATTGCACTCGAAACATGCAACAAAGTTTTCATGAGGACATGACAAGCCTGCCAATCGAAGCAAGAGAACGAAAGCCCGAGAGCGGCGCATGAGCCGAAAGAGCTTGGCCCAGAGACTGATCTCGAAGAAAACAGGGCTGACCTCGGGCCCGGAACCATATACCCCCCACCCCTCACCACCCGAAATCATGTGTTGCAGCCCCAAGCAACTCTCAACGGTACTATACCCATATTAAATGTGGTTGGGTACACACACATATATATATATATACACATACAGGTGCTTAAGTGATGCCTTCTATTGTGATTCTCTTCTGTGCAAAAGTAGAAAGGTGGGGAGGGGTGACCGTACCATGTTTTGGGGCGGGTTAAGGGAAGCCAAAAGGACGTCTGCATTTGTAGAGACCTCTTGTTCTCAGACTCGCCCCGATTTTTTCGGAGCGCACCAAAAGGCACTCCAAGGCTCAAGACGTTGGGATTGCAGAGGCGAGTCACGTCCTCAAAACCCGAAGGGAGGCGGCCGGATCCAAATATCCGGCTTTGCAACTCTGATTGTTACTCAGGTTTCCCCATCACCTGGCTTTTGCAGCGTGAAATCAAGGATCAACTGGTCAACATCATCGTGACTCGACCTTGTTTTTTGAGGCAACCGTGCTTCACGGATTCACTATGTATCCATCACGTACCCACTATGTTTCAACTGATGGGCCACATGAAGCCCATGCAATATATTCAATAGAGCCAGGGTAGGGTCACCGAATGTCCCTGCCTTTCACATTGCGCAAAGCGACAGTGAGACAAGGGTACGGGTCAAATTCAAACCACCAGGGGACCGCAGGTTTTGGTCCATGTTTCCATCTACCAGGATTCCATTTTGGGTACGTGTTTTTGACCCACAGCCACAGCTGTCTGTTTCTGCAGCGCAGGTGGGCAAGATGTGCCTTGCTTTTGTGCTGAGCATTATGGTCGCCTTTGAGCCCATTCTGCACTGCGCGGTTGCGCAGGCTGGCTTGCTGAAGAAAAGAGAGAGGAAGGGGGAGAGGGAGAAGAAAGTGGATGCTTGAAGAACCGGAACAAGCAAACGAGCAATCAAGAAATCCATCCATCCGTCCGTCCGTCCGTCCATCCATCCAGCGATCCTTCGATCACATCGATCCATCGATCCATCCGTCCGTCAGTTAGTCAGTCAGTCAAGCAAGCAAGCAAGCAAGCAAGCAAGCAAGCAAGCAAGCAAGCAAGCAAGCAAGCAAGCAAGCAAGCAAGCAAGCAAGCAAGCAAGCAAGCAAGCAAGCAAGCAAGCAAGCAAGCAAGCAAGCAAGCAAGCAAGCAAGCAAGCAAGCAAGCAAGCAAGCAAGCCCACGCAAGCAAGCCCACGCAAGCAAGCCCACGCAAGCAAGCAAGCAAGCCCACGCACGCAAGCAGTACGCAAGCGCACGTGGCACTGGTTTGCGTGGTTCGTGTTTCCATGTTTTGGCTCGGCATTGCGCGGACGGTCGTCCGTGGCCCCACTGGACCTATCGGAACTGACTGGCCGAGGAGCTCCTCCTGGCCGTTCACACAAATGGCTGTGGTTGTCATGGGAAACTATTATTTGTTGGTTTTTTACAGGGGAATCGTCAGAAACCAGGGTTTCTTCGCTGCAGGATTCGTCCATTCACAGTAAGGTCGGGAAGAACTGGCCGTGGTTGGCAAAACCGTTTTGGGATCCCTTTTTGGTTGGTAGGTGAAATCACCACCCAGTTTAGAACCTATTTTAGTGGGGGATTGGTTGATGTTCACTGGGGGCACGATTTGGATGTTGACCCATGGCCAAATAGGTTCACCTTGGCTTTTGCTTGGAACTGTTGGAACTTTTGCTTGCGGGGATGCTTCAACTTGCGCAGCATACCTCACTGATCCAGTGACTTGGCCAGGACCAGCCCCTGACAGAGGCGCGACAGCCATGGCCCACTTGTGGGGATTGTCCCGCAGAAAACGCGAGCAAGCAAACCCATGTTGTTCTTGCTGTGTGTCGTTGGTTTTGCTCGTTTTTTTTCCCCCCTTTTTCCGTTTGTGTGTTGCTTTGTTTGGTTAATTGGTTTCTTTGTGTGTTTCTGCTGTTTCTTTCTTTTTGTTGTTTCTTTTCATTTCATTTCATTTCATTTCATTTATTTTCTTTTCTTTTCTTTTGTTTGTTTGTTTGTTTGTGTGTTCTTTGGCTGGTTGGCTTGTTTGTCGTGTTTGTTTGCTTGCTTGCTTGTTTGTTTGTGTGTTTGTTTGTTTGTCTGCGTGTTTGTTCATGTATTTTATTGCTTGCTTGCTTGCTTGCTTGCTTGCTTGCCTGCTTGCTTTCTTTGCTTCGCTTCGCTTCGCTTCGCTTTGCCTTGCTTGCTTGCTTGCTTTGCTTTGCTTTGCTTTGCTTTGCTTTGCTTTGCTTTGCTTTGCTTTGCTTTGCTTGCTTGCTTGCTTTGCTTTGCTTTGCTTTCCTTTCCTTTCCTTTGCTTTGCCTTGCCTTGCTTGTTTGCTTGCTTGCTTGCTTGCTTGCTTGCTTGCTTGCTTGCTTTGCTGCTTGCTTGCTTGCTTGCTTGCTTGCTTGCTTGCTTGCTTGCCTGCCTGCTTGCTTGCTTGCTTGCTTGCTTGCTTGCTTGCTTGCTTGCTTGCTTGCTTGCTTGCTTGCTTGCTTGCTTGCTTGCTTGCTTGCTTGCTTGCTTGTGCCCCAAAAGCCCATCATTTTCACAATCCATTTGGGGAACCCAACCGATCTGTGGCTCCAGAAACCAATCCGGGTGACCTCAGGGTGAGAGCGCACCGCTCCTCTTCACCTCAAGCTGCCCAAGCGCGGAGGTCAACAAGGCAACGGGAAAGCTGGCTGAGATACTGTGGATGGTTGCGAAATCCGGCACCACTTTGAAACTATGGTTGAAACAACTAAGGTTTATTGGCGAGAACCGGGGGGAATCCGAAAATCAGAAGTCAGGGTTTCCGAACGGTGGCGCGAAATGGATTTCGTTTTACGAGCCCGCCTCGAGAACTCTGAAGCTAGACGAACTTCTCTGTTTCGGGGTTTATCTCTTTGAGTGGTAACAAAGGAATCTTAATCTTAATTTGTTTTTGTTTGCGCCAATCCACTGAAGTGAGAAAGTTGTTGGTGGACATGAGCCACCGAGGCTCCGAGGTTTCGAGGTGTTTCGTCCCGTGATCTCCCGGGCGAGTTTTTTCTGCCCCCAACTAACCGCGGCTTTTGCGGTTCGGAATGGGGTTCGCACCTGGCAGCCGTTTTGTGGAAAATGGGCCTGTCTTGTTCGGGGGAGAAAACCACCATTTGTTGCGGGGGAGTAAACCACTTTTCTTTTCGTTTTTTTTGGGGGGGGGGGCGCAAAAAGAAAATTGACACACCCAGGTTGGTTGAAGGCCACTCTCAGTGACAATTCGGTAAATTCTGGTCAAAGTACATTGAAGTACCACATATTGCAGCTGGCCAGTTTTTTTTGTTTTGCCACGTTTCAATGGGAGCGTTTCAATCCGCAAGTTCACACCTCGGGGCCTGGAAGGGATTGAGATACTCCGGCCGGATACTGGTCACGGCCCGAATGGGGGGAGAACATGGGGGAGAAAACGGGAAGGAAGCCACTAGGCTGTGGGGGAAGCCCCGAACCTCAAACGACCAATCTACATATCTCAGTTCAAAGCGAATTGACCTGTGGACCTTTTGGTTTTCGCATTTCAGTCCTTTAGTCATGGTCCCAAAAGGTTAACCTTTTATGTCTGGGTCCTTTGGGCAACTGAGAAATGGGAAGACCCTTCTCCTTTTCAAGTTTCACAAGTGTTGCCCTTTGGTAGAACAACCGCAAGTTGTCCCAAAGAACATTGGCATTGTTTTGTTTCTATGTATTTTTTCCTTTTCGAGTTTCTAGAAACCAACTTGCCACAACAAAGAGCATCGGTGTTGTTTTGTTTGTTTCCTGTTCAAGCTTCTAGCAACCAACTTGAAAATCACGAAGACCCGTCTTTGGAGCAACGGGGCTTCGTGGAACTGTGTCTATCCGCACTTCGGCAAGGACCTTTATGGAACGCTGAGCAGCCTCGGATTGCTGCTCTATTGGTTTCTCTGCCCCTTGGTTCCAATTTCAGGCCTGCCGTGTCTTCACTTCTTCACCTACCTCAGCCATCCCCTGAGCTTTTTACGCGTTTTAGTTGGTTTTGTGGGGGGGGGGTCCATTGAACCCACTGTAAGTTTTCACTTTGAGCAGGGGATCTGAGGACAGCCCAGTTGCGAGTGTGTCTTTTTCGAGGCTGCAAAGAAACACACCGACGGCAAAACACCTGTGGGTTTGTGGTTTGGCTCGCTTTGGGTGCGAAGTTGTTTGGCAAGGGGATGGCCACCTCTTTTAGGGTTGTTTTAACACTCAACAGGAAACCACCCCCTTTCAGGGGTTGACAATCTATTTTGAGCCAAGCCCACATGATGTTTCCGGGAAACCAAGGTGATGGCGATGCTTGTTTCATTTCCAGGCTTCTCCATTCCTAGGATCCACTACCCCCATGCCACTGGGAATTGAGGGGAAGTGAGCTTGGCGGTTCGGGGGTTGCGACCAAGCCGGGCATTGGGACAGGGAAGTTTCCCCAGTGCCTGAACCTACAGAGGGAAACGCTGGCGGTTGGCAAGTGATATGGCGTGTTTTTTTGGAGGATACCCCATTTAAAATTTCAAACGGAAACGAGGAATGTGTGGGACACGTCCATATGCCTGGTCCTTGTAGCTTTTGAGAGGCGTGGCTGGAGCCAGGGATTTGGGAACCAAAAGAAGCTGCCCATGAGGGAATCTCTTCCTGTATGGCCCCCTGCTGTTTTGTCTTTTGCCCTCTTCACAGTCTCACAAAATGCACCGAGCCTCAATGAAACTCTTGATCGTTGTGTCTTTCGTTAGGGACCCCCCCAAATTGGCTGGCCCAATCGTGTATCCCTTTTAAACCTCCGAAAAAGGTGTACCCTGCAAAAAAGACACCAAAATGGTTGCGATTGTCCCAAATGTTTCCCAACTTGCAAAAGGTTGGGTGTGTCTTTTTGTGAGGGTCCCAGGATTGTTTGTGGTTTTTAAAGGACAACCCTCCCCAGTTTTCGTGGTTTTAAAGGAAACCCAAAGGGAAAACCACCGATTTGGAATCCAGCCTTAAAAACGAGAGACCCAGTTGGGACCGGCCGCAAGTTCCTCGCTCGAGGCGCTGAGTTATCCGTCTACTCCATGCAAGTGTCTGCCTTCTCGCTGGTTGTCGTCAGAGTGTGCGGAGAGGCGCCGCGGAGATTCGCTGAAAACGATGTTGCCACATTGCAACCCGAATTGATCGGGTGATGTCTATTTCTCTAAACTCCCTGAGTTTCTGGACTTTCTACCTTTTAGGGGGTTGGATCATTTCAGTGGCAACAACAAGTGCAGACTTTTTCTGGCCACTCCACTCAGTATCTGCGATTCCTGGCGTTGTTCAAGCAGCACTCGCTTTGGAGTTGCTGTTTTTGGCACTTTTGGCGTGCGTTTCGAGCGCAGTGAATCTTGGAATGTGTGGGGCGCAGGCCCCACTCCATGTGAGATATGTTTGGTGTATCTTGCTGGTTCATAAGCGGTGGGGCCCCTTTCCTGCAACAAAAAGCAGCCCAAACACCAGAGTTTGTCTTTTTTGTGGCTGTATATAAAGGGAACCAAAGGGACACCGCCCAGTTTGGGAGGTTCCTGACAAGAAGACAGTCTCACCCGATTTTCTCATGGGGCTAAAGATCCGCGCAACATCATTTGCGGCTACCCCCGGTTGCATGCTAAGCCCCGGGAAGTTTGGGGGGAACCTGGAAGCCAAAAGCATTCCACCCGTTTTAGGCCCCCCAAGTTTGACTATATATATATATATACACCCATTTTTGTTGATGATTCCCAGCATGGTCTAACCCGTATGAACCATCTCGTGTGAGTTTCTCTAGGGTTCATCGCCAATCCTATTGTGATTCCCTTCTTTCGGGAACCAGCAAGTTTCTGACGAACCCATGTTCCGCAGAGTAACGCTTAAGGGAACCCACGAATTGGTTTCCGTGCGCAACCGCTTGGCAACCTCCGCCGATTCGCACTGCGTGAGGTGCTGCTCTTTCTCGGCGCGTTGGCATTCTGCATCATCTCGCGGCTCGGAAGGTGTAGCGCGCGGGCGGTGTGTGTTACTGTGTGTTTGTCTGTGGGTGTGCAGATGCCTGAGGATGTGTGTGTGTGTGTGTGTGGGTGGTTGCGTGCGTGCGTGCGTGCGTGCGTGCGTGCGTGCGTGCGTGCGTGCGTGCGTGCGTGGGTGGGTGGGTGGGTGGGTGGGTGGGTGGGTGGGTGGGTGGGTGGGTGGGTGGGTGGGTGGGTGGGTGGGTGGGTGTGTGCGAAGTTCCTGATCTACCCAGGAACCCCTTTTGCTTGGGGCAACGACCCGTCTTCCGACGTTGTTCAAGGAAGCTATGGAACACGGGTGGAAGGGTTCACGGACGCGAGAACCTGTACCTGCAGTGATTCTGAAGGTCCATCTGACCCGCTTCTGTTTCCGCTGTGTGTGTGCTTCATGTTGGATCTTGCAACGTGTTCGAGTCTAGAGAGAAGCCAGCTGTCCTGCCACTCGATCTCGTTGACTCGACTAATATATTTGCTCGAAGTGAGATCACCTCTCCTTCGGGAGGCATTTATGTGTGTGTGTCACTCTGTGTGGTGTAGCACTGTCAGTGAGTGGGTGTGTGGGATGCGTGAGGATCTGTGTGTGCGTGTGTGTGGCTCACTAGGTGCGGGTGTCTGGGTTTGTGTGTGTGTGTGTAACGATGTGTGTTGTCACACTGTCAATGGGTGGCTGTGTGGACGCCTGAGGATGTGTGTGGGTCGCTAGGTTTATGTGTCTGGGTGTGGATCCTGAACCTAGAGTTGCACAGGTCACTCCCTTCGAAAATCCTAATCAACTGGAAATTGCAAAGAACAGGCCATGTGCCATTTGTTTCTGTGGCTGAGGTTTGAAATCGTTTGTATTCGCAAAACATGGCTTTCATGAAACGTTCGCGGATTCATCGCAGAGCTACCCAGCACAAGTGATTTGACACTTCTAGCCCAAGAAGTTGCTCTTTTCAGAACACGCAGAGTACGCACTGTTTGGCCCATCTCGGTGGCAGCTTCAGCTGGAAATTTCTAGCTTTTTAGGACAACAGCAATCCGTGAAGCAGACTTGAAACTTTGGCAACCCCACTGGCAAATCAGAACTTGTCAAAATTGAAACGCAAGGTCGCGGAACGTCACTATGTGTGCTGTCGCGCTGTCAGTGGGTGGGTGTGCGGACGCCTGAGGATTGAGGATGCGTGTGTGAGTGTGTGTGTCTTTGTGTGTGCGTGGGGGCCGCTAGGTGTGGGTGTCTGGGTGTGTGTGTGTGTGTGTGTCACTATGTGTGTTGTCAGACTGTCAGTGGGTGGGTGTGCGGACGCCCGAGGATGTGCGCGTGTGTGTGTGTGTGTGGGTCGCTAGGTGTCGGTGTCTGGAGTGTGTGTGTCTGTGTGTGTCACTGTGTGTTGTCACATTGTCAGTGGTGGGTGTGTGGATGTGTGACCATGTGTGTGTGTGAGGGTCGCGTCACCAGGTGTGTTGTCACACTGTCAGTGGGTGGCTGTGTGGATGCATGAGGATGTATGTGTCTCTGTGCGTTTGTGTGGGTCGCTAGGTGTGGGTGTCTGGGTGTGTGTATGTGTGTGTGTCACTATGTGTGCTGTCAGTGGAAGGGTGTGCGGATGCCTGAGGATGGGGGTGGGTGTATGTGCGTGGGTCGCTAGGTGTCTGTGTCTGGAGTGTGTGTGTCTGTGTGTGTCAGTGTTGTCACATTGTCAGTGGTGGGTGTGTGGATGTGTGACCATGTGTGTGTGTGTGTGTGTGAGGGTCGCTAGGTGTGGGTGTCGGTGTGTGCGTGCGTGCCTGTCTGTGTGTGTGTGTGTGCCACATCCGTGCCCTTTTTAGATCAGTTTGGTGTAAAGGGCCCGACAATTGGAAGGATTACGCACCGCCATGGACTAGTACTGAGTCATCCAAAGTTGGCCGCCAAAGAAAGCTGCAGCACCTGCAACCAGGACTCACAAACAAGTCTTTGTCACTTTCCTTCATTGTGAAATGTAAAAATAGGTGAACCGCGTTGGTGAAAACCATGACACCTGCTCTTCATTCCTAGGACCGCTCAAGTTTGACGTGTTTCTTGCAGACCTGATATCCCCGATGGCAACTGGGCTGATGCAACCACAGCCATCCAAAGATGCCTCAAACTCTTAGGCTAGGTCCTCCAGTAGTGCCCTTTTACCCTTTTTTGGGGGAGGGTTCCCCTATTAAAATAGACTACAGAAAAAAGGGACGCTTATTCAAACCTCTCTACTGGAGGACCTAGTGGGATTGAGCTTGCTCATACAAAGCTTCTGGCCAAGCTGTGTGGTAGGCTCTTCTCAAAAACATGGCGGGCGAAAGCTCTTGAGCGACGCATGTCAAGGCTGAAGGCGACTGCTTCGAGGTTTTACTTTGCGCGGCCAGAGGCATCTGGTAAGTTGTGTTTTCGCTTTTCCTCTTTAGACGAAGACCAACATTCGGTGCCATGTACCTCAATGTTCCTTTTGAACTTGGCGCCACAGTTGCGTTGGTCTTGAACGGCATGCATCATTTGGCGCCAGGCGTTTAAAACAGCTTTGTTTGGTGAGCGACGAACGCACACGTTTGGTGCCACGGCGTTTTCAGTAGGGCTTCCCTTGGGCGAGCAAGGATTTGGCGCCATGCGTTCATTTAGTTGGGCTACCATCGATAATGACTGCGGCCGGGTGGCACTTGGCTCTCGGACAAAGTGCAACAGTTGGGTCACTCCCCGTTGCCCTACCTGGCTCCCAGCCATCCCCTTAGCTTTTTAGCTTTTTAGTATTTAGTGGTTGTTTTCATTTAACCCACTAAAAGTTTAACTTTTGGCGGGGGATCTGAGAGCAGCCCGGCTACTTGGAAAGTTCACACGTTGAATTTTGGGTTACCATTTCAACATGAGTTTCCCTTCTAAACCGCGATGGTTGTAGGCCGGTCGTCGAGCTGGAAAGGACACGGCTACCTTTCTTTTTCCCCGGCCGTGGCCAAGTGCGGGAATGGGGCGTACCAAGGTTTGCATCAGCGATGAGCTGTCTCAACCACCACATCTTGGAGTTCAATGGGCTGCTGCCTACGGCGAAAGCACTGATGCAGGCTAGACACTTTCCTTGTTTTGAGGGTCCAAAGAGCCACCGAAAAAACGCAAAGATCACCTGGCAGTACTCGAGGATGCCAACTAGGGTTGTCGGGGTTGATCGATTCTGCGCAAATTCGAACGAGCACGCTGATTTGGGGCTGAAATGAATAAAGCTCCTTTTGAGCAATCCCTTACTTAGGATTCCTTATCTCAGGCAGTTTGCCTAGATTCAGGGGACCCCTAAGCCGGTTTTATTAAACGGGTTCCAGCTTGCGCCAAAGGACATTCATGTAAAGTCCGAAAGGAACCCAGCCCATAGGCCACCCAATAGATTCAGCATTGAAAGAACCCTCAGAACAGCCGCGACCGATTCCCATCGGGGTCTTTTCGGGGGATAGTCCTAGGGTCTCCTGGAAACCAGTTCCCTCTATGAACGAAACGCAGGACGGACAGTCCATTGTTTTTGATTCTTTGATTTTGGGAAGCACCTTTTTGGCACTTATCCTTGCGAAAAGAACCGCGCCATCAAGGGCCTAGCAGTCCAAAGACTAGGAGGCCTGGGCTCCGTGTTCCTGTTCAGACCCCTTTTACCTTTCGTTCTTCAGTTTTTTTGCTCCAGTGTCAGTGGCCGCAAGAGCGTGTTACGCCGCTTTTTATCACGCACTTCTGTCAACTGAGAGTTCTTGCCTGTCGCGAATACGGGAAACCTTCCAACCAAATATGAGAAGCCCTGGTGGCGGAGGGCCGAGATCATTCCCATCTTCCCTAAGCAAGACGATTCTTCGCAGTGGTATTCCACAAACTCGGCCACCAAGGCGCAAAGCGACCCCCTAAAGCCTTGGGTCTTGTTTTGAGTCGGGAATTTTGAGTTGCACGCTTGATGGTTACGCCACCGAAAATGGTCGGATGTAAACCTGCAATGCTTTTTGCTTGATGTCCACCAAAGGGTTCGAACACTTGTAATAGTCCTCCCCAACCCCCTGACCCCTCCCCTCTGGTTCCCCCTTTCCCAAATAGTCCCCACATAACTTGCGCAAGGTTGGGATTTTCTTGCAAAAGGGTGTAATTCAAGCAGCTCAGACACAACTTGTTTGAGGTCCCTTTTACAGTGCAACGCAAATCAGCACTAAACAATCCCTAGACCTCGACCCAAGCTCCCTAAGCAAACCCTATACCAACCTTAAACTCACTCGAAACCAACCCCAAGCCCACCCACCAACCATACACGAACCTAAACCCACCCTAAACCAACCCCAAAGCCACCGTAAACCGGCACTAAACAATCCCTAAACCACCAAAAATCAACTCCAAAGAAACCCTAGACAATGTCGGTACCCACCCTTGTCCAACCTTAAGCCCCTGTCAACCAACACTAAACCCACCCTAAACCAACCCCAATCCCGCCATGGACCCGCCTGAACCTGACCCTAAGCCCACCCTAAACCCACTCTAAACCAATCCTAAACCTTCCCCATACCAAGCCCTGAACCAATCTAAGCTAACCGCAAACCCGCCCCAAAGAAACCCAAGCCCTGCCCAAACCCACCCTAAACAAACTGGGAACCCACCCTAAACTCAGTCCAAACCAAAGCTTCTGCTGATGCCGCGGTCGAAAACGATGCGGATGTGCGCTGTGCTGCTGTAAAACAGGTGCATGGTGCAAGCAAACAATGCTGTAAAATCCGTCATTTTAGCGCCTGCTCAACCTAGGAAACGAACGGCCCACCCCTAGGAAGCAAGAAAACCCTTCCGAGTGGCAAGAATCACTGGAAGCTACCATTCTAAAGTCACTCCGTGGCTGCGGAGTAGATGGCGAACTCTTCCATTCAGATGTCATTCTCCCTCTCCTCCCACAGTCATCCGGAAGTTGAAAGGGTAGTTGGCAAGTCGCGGTCTTGTCCTTTTTGGAGGGAAACCTTCCCGCTTTTGAGAGCTGGTTGTGAGGGACAGATGGAAGTCACCCCCTCGAAGCTGGACTCAGATCTCCCTGGGCATCTTCCCCAACAGCTCCATGGCGAAGACGGAGAACGACGTGCCGGCCGCTCGGATCCGCGGATCCGTGGCAATGGTGTTCGGAAGGACACTGCTTGAAAACGACGAAGCGTTTCTCGCGGTGGGTTTCCCTTGAAGCATGTTGGCGGGCGCTGTGGCGCTTTTCAGGCTTGAACGCAAGCGGGTGCCCGTTGGTTCTCTGACCTGAGCTCAGCAGTTGGTTTTTTGATTTGAGCTCAGCACGAAGGTGGGCATTTGGTGTCAACAGACCGCCCCCTACGGGGAACCTGCATGTTCAAGCACCCCATTCGGGCCCAGGGATCCTTCCTTCCGGAAAGCCCTCAAGAAACTGAGTGGTTCGAAACATCCGGTTTTCAAAAGAACGATGTTTGAAAAGAATGTTGCAAGTTTAAACATGGGTTTGGTGGTTTGTCACCACCAGAAGCCATATAGGAAAAGATTGGGAGTGGGGCAGTCATGAACTGAAAAACCCCTATGTTGCAAGTGGCCGATTCAATCCTGCAGCCCCCCCCTCCAAAGTGCGGCCGCGCTTGAAAAATGGTTTGAGCCGCGGTCGGACACAGGAACATTGCGGCATTAGGCAGTCCTTCTCTTGTGATTTATTTAACGGATAGACGGCTGACACATGATTTGGGTAAAACTGAAGGTAGTTGGTGATTTTTTACTTACAGGTTTTCCCTACTCGCTCGCACAAAGCAAAATCGCCCGTTTGACCTTTGATTTCCCCTCTTTGGATCTTTTCCATTTTCTCGAAAGGTTAATCTGTTGTTTCTGGGTCCTTCGGGCGCACACGTGTCCAGCGATCCGCTGGAAGAAACGCGAGACCCCTTTTTTTTCGGCATCCGCTTTGGTTGGTGGGAGGGCACACCAAACTCCGACCGACTGTTGTTGGGCCGAGTGACTTGGAATTGGTGAACCCTGCGCAAGCCGAAGAGCCCTCATTGCAACAAGTTGCAAACGAAAAGGCAAGGACCTCCAGTACCCAATGACTTAGACATATGGCCATGGTCAAAGTCCCATACCTCCAGCGAACATCCCAATCCAACCACTAAAATAGGTTCTAAAACGGGTGGTGAATTCACCTACCCCAAAATCGTACCATTGGTTTTGACCCACAGCCGCAACAGGGACAACAGATGCGCTGCGAACTCAATGATGCACCTGCGAGAGGACAGCTGTCAAACAACTAGCCTGGTGCCCTTAGGTTTTGATTGAACCTGGGTTCCACTGGTTTGACTTTTCGCAGTTTGCCACGGAATCCATCGATTCCAAAACACCTATAGGCTTGGGATGCATCTTTTCAGGGGAAGCCATTCACGGGTTATGTGGACGCACTAACTTTCCCCCTCCCAACCTTGTCCGCGGAGGCGGGGTTTCATGATTATGCCAAGGTAGACTTGTGTTTCCCCAAAAGGGAAAAGAACCAAAAGGGTTTAAGTGGCCCAAACAAGAGCTCCAGAGGTGTTTGTCCTGGTGTGCATCTTTGTGGCCTTGGTCTTTATCATCTTGGCCAACATTCTCATCGCGCAGCTGTCGCCTGGCCGTAAAGCTTCGACCTGTTGATTTGCGCCGTGTGTCTTGTTTGTTGAGTTGATGCTGTGACTGGGACATCTCCTTTGAAGCAAGTTTGCCCATTGGCTGTGGGTCAAAACAGATGGTACCATTGTGGGGTGGATGCACCACCCATTGAGTTTATTTTAGTGGGGATTGGGATGTTCACTGGGGGTATGGAATTTTGACCCACAGCCATTTTAAGTGGACTACAAAGTAGCAGCGCACATGTTTTTTGGGTGGGGCAAAGTTTACTAAACCAGGTCTTGTGGCAAATGCGCCAAGGGAGTAGGGGGAACACCGAAGGTGTCAGTATTCAATGGCCGAGATAGACATAGAACTGGGGGTTGATTTTCCCCCAACAAGTTGGACTCCTTGTTTCTTTTTGAGGGGGACTGCGTGAGGTATCAGTGCTATCATGACCAGTTCGCTGCGATGGCCGGCTACGCGCACCTGAACCGGCTCAGTGTGATCGCAACTCGGTTTCGTTTTGAGGGGGCCGCGGTGTCATGAGAACGAGGGTAAAAAAGTACCTAGACCGCTGGGATTTTCTGGCTTCAAACATAGGTGTCCTTTTTATGTTAATTTGGTTAGAAATAGATGGCACTGGTTTAGGTTGGTTTTATTCCATTGACCAGGGCCATCAATTTTCCCAAAAAGGACACATGTGGCTTCAAAATGGTTCAGGATCCAGCCACATTCTTGCGGATTGGATGGCGGAAGCACCTTGTAGGGAATCCTCCAGACCATTTTCTGAGAACCAGCCTACCCCACTTCCCAAGACTTTAGGCTTTACATCCGAAAGCCACAAACATGTGGGTTTGTCGCCAAATAGGGGTACCCAATAAATGGCTGTTTGCCTTTTGGCTTCCCTTTAAACCAACCCAAACAAGGATACGCCAGAAAAAAAAGACCAACCCGTGTTGATTCTCCATTATCCCCACCCCTGCGATTCAAACCACCTTTAAAACAATGGGGGGTGGTTCATAAAACTACCATTGTTTACCTAAGGATTGTCATCATCAATTTGGGTCAACCGTTCTTTTGATGGGGGTTGAAGCCTAGAGCCTCGTCGTCTAAGCAAACCACCGTTTTTTTTCCCCTGCCCTGTGTCTCGTCGCAGTTGTTTGAGGTCACCACCTGCAAGAGCGTGTCGAGGTCTTCCTGGAAGAAGATTCTCGGCGGAAGTTGGTATCCTTGAGTCGGGTACTGTTGACCCCATACCGTGGATGGACGAAATCCTGCACCACCTAAGAAACCCTGGAAGGATGATTCCCCTGGAAATACCAACAAACAATGCTTTCCCATGGTTTCAAAGCGGTGCAGGATTTCGTCCATCCACAGTATCAATCAACCCCAGTTTATCCATACAGGGTGGGGGGGCCCTCCAAAAGCGGTCTGATTCCCCACTAGCTATTTTAAAAACTCAACATTAGGATCTTTAAGTTTCCAAAGCGGTGCTTCAACAATGTCAGGGTTGGTTCAGGGTTGGCTTAACAGTGCCAACTCCAAAAAGACACAAGCGCACTCAGCTGTAAAATCCAATCCACCCCATTTGGGTGCCAACTAAGACATAAGACATCTAGTAACCCTGTGGAAAACCACGGAACCCTTTTTTATGGCCAGGACCACTTTTAGTTGGTCCCGAACCCAGCAAACAAAACAGGGATTCAAAGGGTGAAAATCACTGAATTGGTCTAAAGTACCAACTACAAGGCCGTTCTATTTGTTTAGGGCCGGTTTCCATATTCTATCATATGTGTGATTAGCCATGTGTTGGAAGCATCATCGGGTGTGTCGCGTTAGTGACAATCCCGTGATGTTTGGCTCAAGTTTGGATCCGTCGCGGCCTCGGATGAGCGTCGCCGGGTCCCCACGTCGATCGCCCGCGTGTCGGAGGAGAAAGAGACTTCGGCCCGGGGCAGGTTGGTGGGGAGTGCCCGTGCGGTTCATCATCGACCCAGGTTGCGGGTATCCTTTGTTCTTTTGGTTTGGTTTGGATTGTGGTTGTGTGGCCACTTGTGTGTGGGAAACCCTGACCTTTGGAACCGGGAATTGGTTACTGTTTTGGGGCCTTTCTTTTGTGGCTTGTTTACCCCAACTTTTCCAATTGCCTGGGCACAGGTCCGCGCCCGAATCACAGGTTTCAGCCGTAGGACTTTCCTGTGCGCTTGTTTCCTACGACTACAAGCGCTATGACATCGACCCGGCGAAGCACTAGGAGCGTCGCGGGCGAGGAGGCCATCCTAGGTGGCCCCCGACTAGGTGAGGGGCGCCGGACTTCGCCTACGAGGATTTCGAGGAGAGTTCGGCAGGTGGTGGTCGCATGGGTGATGCTCCCTATCGGGACACACCTCGCGGGCGAAGCAGGTTTGTGGACGACGGTGATGATCGATTGTTCCGTCAGGTTATTGATGATGAGCGATCCCAACGAGCTCGCTCCGATAGGGGCGGCTCCGCAGTGGCTTCAGGTCAGGACGAGGACGATTTCATCCTTGCGATGAACGTTGGGAGGGCGTCTGAGGTTTCGAGGAACCTCTTTTCGTTAGGTCACCAAGACCTCTCGAGCCCGGTCAGTACCGAGCTGAGGTCATCGAGGAGGACATCAACAGAGGACATGTCTGGCCGGTTGAAGTCCAGAATCCTGGAGAGGTTGATGAGGAGGAACCCCAACCCGTCGTTGGACCGTCAGGCATGAGTTTCATGGCTATCCACTACGGGGGGCGTTGCACGCCTGTTGGCTGCCGATAGGCAGGATCAGCCAGGTATTGATGAATCTGATGCAGAACGAATGGATGCCGTTGATGAGGAGGAGAATCCCGTCGGAGAGAAAAGTTCCGAGAGGCCCCTAGGCCTAGGAGGGCTCATCAGAGCCGGCCAGCACTGACAGGTTTGAACAGGATGTCGCCAGACCTCCTGGTTTCTAGTTTCAACCCAATTCCTAACATCTCGTGACGGCAGGCTTGAAATCGCGCTTGATGACTCCTTTGTGAAGCCCGTTAGGGCGAGAGCCGAGCGACGCTGAGCCAGTAAGGAGGGTCGACCAACAGGGGACGGAGTGCATCGGCGAAACGCCAATCGCCGATAGGCGAGAGGCGTGATAGGTCGAAAGCAAGAAGATCCAGCCCCGAGCCATGAAGCCGAGGTACTGGACGCGGCGGATGTTCACTGACCGTGCTTCTCTTTAGCCGAGGTAGGGCCGCCGCTAGGCTGTCCATTTCGGTGCCTCGTCCTCGCGTTAGCGCGGCAGAGCGCCCTGAGAGAGTTGAACTCCTGTTATCAAGCCACGTTCGCCTAGGAGCACTGATGAACAGGAGAAGGAGGAACTGGACGCTCATCTTCAATCACTCGTTGAGAGGGGTGGGGTTTCTGGAACAATCGCGGGCCAATTCGCGGTCAAATTGCGTCCATGAATCAGGCATGGACAGAGGAGCGACAGCAAGTCAGGGAAGGTGTAGGGCGCCTGACCGGAGAGGTCGAGGGCCTTGCTGATGCTAGTCGGCTGCGGATGATCGTTCAGCAGTTTGCGAGGGATGTGATTCCCGACACTCAGCAATTCGTTATAGAACTGCGACTGATGAGCATGACATTGCAGTCGAAGAAAAGTTCAGCAATATGCACGACGAAGTTCAGAGATCCGTTCGGAGACTTGAGCAGATTGGCGACCTCGTGTAGGAACGTATGAGGACTCAGCACCTTGCAATGCACCGGGGACAGCGCGCCACAGAGGACGGGAGTTTGAGCACCGGGTTTCCACGTTAGGACCTGGCTTCTCAGGGTCTCACCGCGGTTTCGAGGACTGTTAGGGCCTCGACACGCTGAGGAAACTGTCCGAAGACCGCCATGCGTGGGCGATCAAAAAGATCCAGAAGCTTGAAGATGAGAGCAGGGCTGCTGTATCAGGCATGGAGAACGTCATGCGGGATAGGCAGGCCATGAAGAGGGACTTCGACGAGCTCCGTTCGGAAGCTAGGTCTTCGCGTGACCCTGGGATTGATCGTTCCCGACCGGCTTCGCCTACTCGTCAGTCTCTGTGCATGGAAGTCAGTGTTGCAGATTGACCTTGTGCATTGATTGCTGCAAGGGTCGCTGCTTCGTTCTGCACCGTGAAGTCCGTCGCAGTCTGGGCATAGTATGCATGAGACATGAGAAACACTGTTTCCATGCCATGAGACTGGCTCAGAATCCGTCTCCTGGCGTGGCTTGGACCTCCTGGCGTGTGTCGCCGAGCAACTGTTTCTTTGAAGGTTCTGTGTGTCATGCATGGGGGATGACGGGCAGTGCATGGATTCCTGAAGATGAGGTGCCGCAAGCGTGCCCAGGAGGTGTCGATGTATCATTGCACTGACTGTGGGAAGGAGATTTGTGACTCACATTTGGAGTTTGATGGCCTGAAGATTCCCGTTGCAACACTTTGCACGAGGGTACTTTAGGGAAAGGGCCACCTCCTCCTCCAGGACCAAGGGGTCACGTTAATGGCGATCTACGATCAGGATGACTGCGCGAGGTTGGTTACGAGGATCGGGAAGGACCCGAGTTTTAATGCAGGCAGCCCGTGACAGGTACACCAGCCCGAATACGGGGGGTGGGCCACAAATGCATGAGCTGCAGTGGTGAGATCCCACTCGTGTCATGAAGTTGCAGGACTTCCGCAGGGCGGCTCAGACGCGCACCACCACATCCAGGATGGAAGGGCGGACGAGGGCCTCGCGCAGACGACGATGCCGTTGAACCCAGAAGCGGGCGTCTCCCCATCATGGTGTGTCCGGGCTCGGCAGCGGAACTACGCAGGCAGGTGCTGTTGACATGCGCGTCCACTGGTCGATGACGGGACCGGTGATGCTGACCAGGAGGAAGACTCTTGCCGTTAGGGATGAGATGGCATGGAAGGCCGCGTACATGTTGGATGACTACACGTTGCTATACCATCGCACATGGGACTACGGCAGTTGCACTCGATAGGGGCAACCACAAACGGACGAGGGAAGGGGTTACCCTTGATGTTTGCACGACTCTTTGTCTCAGGTCCTTGATGATGTACGAATGATAGGGAGTTATCTCGATCCGTTCGGCGTTACATGGAGGAAGGCAACAATGCGGCTGCACTGGATGTGATCAAAGGTACGCTGCGGAGGGCAGCCGGAGTGATGCCGTGGGTTCCAGAACGCATCGGTGGAGTCACGAAGGATGTATGACCCAAGGGAAGGGACGATCGAAGGGTTCGCCGCGATCTCCTGTCGAGTGAGGAAGACAGGGGGCGGAGGAGAGAGACCCGGAATGTGATCGGGTTGGTGGGGCGGACGACCGGAGGAGGCGCGATGACAGCCGTTAGGCGGTGTCGCGAGACGGGTGCCGGTTGGCTGAATCCTTCGCCCTCCGATGGTCGGCGCTGGGTGATGCTCATGCCCAGCCGCACCGCTGAGGCGTGTCGATCATGCTCCTTCTGGACCGCAGCTGGGCTGTGGTGAAGATCACTAGTTGCACGAGTGAGAGGGATGTGGATAAGTGGAGGTTACTCCAATTCCACTAAATTAATCTAATCTTGGGTGATACGTGATAGGAAGCACATCTTGCTGATAGGCGAGGGTGCTATCATTCAACCCTTTTGGTGGACATCTACATGGCTATAAAACTCGCATCTTTGATGCAAACAGTAGTGACCTATTGTCATTACGTGGACCTTGTCACTGGGTATGCTGGACAGCGTTACCCCGATTAATTCGGGGTGGTGGCGGGAATTTAATGGGATGTCGCGCAACTGCCTATGTGGGTTGGCTCCACCGCTGGTGGGGGTGTGATTACCCATGTGTTGGAAGCATCATCGGGTGTGTCGCGTTAGTGACAATCCCGTGATGTTTGGCTCAAGTTTGGATCCGTCGCGGCCTCGGATGAGCGTCGCCGGGTTCCCACGTCGATCGCCCGCGCGTTGGAGGAGAAAGAGACTTCGGCCCGGGGCAGGTTGGTGGGGAGTGCCCGTGCGGTTCATCGTCGACCCATGCGGGTATCCTTTCTTCTTTTGGTTTGGTTTGGATTGTGGTTGTTTGGTCACTTGTGTGTGGGAAACCCTGATCTTTGGGACCGGGGATTGGTTAGTGTTTTGGGGCCTTTCTTTTGTGGCTTGTCTACCCCAACTTTTCCAATTGCCTGGGCACAGGTCCGTGCCCGAATCACAATATCAATGTAACAACCGCAGCAACATGACAACAGCATTGAGTTTGTCCCTAAACGAACCTGCCGTGGTTTCCCTTTTGGTACCCTGTGGGACCATACCAGAAAGAACAGTGTGAGGGCTTGAAGACTTAGAATGGGTTTGGAGTAAGAACGAAACCAAGTTGCGCCATGAGCATGGGACCATCTGTGTACTTCTTACCCTGTGGGGTTGCTCTAGATCCTAAAGCAAGCTGGGCCGCATGGGTTCCCTGGTTTGAAACAGACGCACTTGGGTGGGTGTGTTTTTTGGTTTAATGCCTTTGCCCCCTCTTGAAGGGACCAAAATGAAGCTTGATTTTGGATAAAGGAAACCACTGTTTGGTTATCCCAAGAATCACCCATCAAGGTGGGTCCCCAAGAATCTTCCAGTGCCCTGCGTTCTCTCCAAGGTTTCTTTGGGCGAGCTGCATTTGAGGGGTCAGGATGTTTTGCGGTTTCCCTACCGGCATTCTTTCCCTCTTTTTTTTTGGCGGGGGGGAGGTCGGCAACCTGGGGTGGTTTCCATGAGGATTCGCCAATTTTGGGGAAAGGAGCATACCACTCCGCGATTCAGGATTGTGGAAATGTCCTTTCTTCTTTTGAGGGTAGTTGGAAACGGTGGTTTGGATTGGTGGTTTGGATTTGTACCTCTTCTTGTAGCGGGCAAATGGGAACCATCCCCACACCAAACTGTTAATTAGAGGTAAGGTGATGTAGGACTCAATTTTGCGAACCTGTGCGCTACCCCTATGTAGACCTTCGGGCTGTGACGTGGCTAGGCTTTGTTCGAGTTTTATTCGGCATTGGCCAAGAGTCGCCCTCGCTGCGTACTGTACCTCAACCCTCCCCTGCACCCCCTTCCCCCCATTCCACCGTTGGCTACCTTTTTTTTGGGAAGGACAGCCCCAACTCTCAAACCCCAAGCCCCCAAACCCCCAAACCCCCACACCCCCAAACCCCCGCACCCCCAAGCCCCCAAACCCCAAGCCCCCAACACATCCATTCCTTGCGTGTGGAACCCCTCCCTCCCCCCAGCACGAGAGCCTCCGGCCCAGCCCCTCGATCGCTCGCTCCCGCTCGGAGGTTTCTCAGCAGCTTGCACTTCGAGGAGAAGTTGGACTTCAACCAGGGGGACGTGGGCATCTCCGGGGGCGTGCAGACGCCCGGAACAAGCCGAGTCAGCGGGTCAGCGGGTCAGCGGGTCGGGTCGACGAGTCGGGGGGGGGGGTTTGGGGGGGTTGGGGGGAGAGCACCTGGCGCCGTGTGGCATGGGTGGGATGGATTTTGTTTTTTTTCGGTTTTTCGGGGGCCCCTCGCAACATCCCCTTTGAAGGATTTTCGGTGGTGGGATACACGAAACAGTGCCTGAGATTGTTGGTTTTGCCGGTCCTTACGTTTCCCTCACACTCACTCCCTGAGCTGATTGGTCGTCAGAGTCGGGATCGCTGGAGACTCTCGCCCTGGAACATTTGGAGGCTTGCCACCCAAACTGATTGGGGGATGTCTATTTCTCACTCCCTGAGAGTCAGGGACTGAGTATAAGGACCGACCGTTGTAGTTTGACGTCCATTCACCAGGTCTTGTCCAAAGAATGGCGCAATGTTGGATGAGAACAGAACGGTCAGACGATCTTTAGTGCTTTCCCCAAGGCCGCCAAGTGCCTACAGAGTTTCTTGTCTCTGGGTTCAAGCAAACCAAGATAATCTTGCCGACTTTGCAAGCAGGCCCGACTTGTTTCCTCTTCGAGGCGACCTTTGCGAGTCGGCGTCATTTCATATGCCGCCTTTTTACCCACACTGTGTCAACCCATTTCTAGTTTGCCTGTTTTGCGTGACAGTCAAGTCCTGCTAGGTTGCATGCTATGGCTATTTCTTTAAGGCCCGGCAACAGTAATTGCCCTGCTGCAGATGAACATGGAGCCCAGGAACCTCCTTTCGGGACCCCCATATTGAGTTCCTTCCGTTAACTTGCAGTCCGGTCCGGCTTCCTAAAGTGTTTGTCGTTGGGGCGATGGACAGATGTTCATCAGGAGAATGGTGGCATTGGTCTATTCTCTTGAGGGTTCCCGCCCTTTTTTTTGAGGTTCGAAAGGAAATCCAAAAGGACAACCACCATTTTGGGGGTCCCATAAAGACAACCATGCGTGTGTGTGTGTGTGTGTGTGTGTGTCTCTAAAGTCCCTGAAGTATGGTTGCATCCCAAAACACATTTTTACGGCCACCGTCCACCACAAGCTCACGCCAAGTAATTCGAAGGTTGGGGAGCCCAAGCCTCACCTGGAAACCTTCTTTTCGGCCCAAAGCGACCCATCCATTTGCCCCACAGGAGAATTGTTTGGGCGACCCCTTTGGAGATGGCTTTTGAAAATGGCTTCAACGTTCCTTTTGCTTTCCCTTTTCCAACTTGAAAACCAACCAACAAGTTATGGGGGTTCCCTCAAAAAAGAGACTTGAGCCAACCAACAAGTTTTGGGGGTTCCCCCCAAAAAAAGCTCGAGCTTTTCCCTTTGAACCAAACAAACGCAAAAAAGCACGGAGTCTTAGTTCCCCGAGAGACGGGAGCCGGCCGGGTTTGAGGATCCTGGAGCCTTCGCATTTGCACCCCACCAACGTGGACACCATCCGCCGCTTCGGGGGGTCTTCGGCTCCCTGGAGCCCCTGGCCCGAGGCGCGGATCCCCGCGAGGGACGAAGCGACCCCGAAAGCAACTGAACAAAGGGGTGCACGGGGAAGGAAACCGGACTGCGAGCCACCATCCTGAGAGGTTAGAATAAGTTGGTACCAACTTTTTCGGTCTATTTTCAGTCTGTTGATCCCGGAAGAGCCCGGCCTATTGGGGGCATGTTTTTGTTTCTCTATTTTGGTGGTTTATCAGAGTCAGCTGGGGGTGTTTTCCTTTCACCTATCACTTAGGCTTTGATATCGGCAACACAATTGGGCCAGTACTAATAGGAGGGTCGGGACCCCTCAAGTGGTGTATCCACACGCAGGGACACCCCAACAAATCAAAATCAACCAGGGGTTCTGCCCATTCTTGGATTCCACTTTCAGTTGCTTCTAATCATTTTGCCAGCTCATGTGTTGTTTGAGCACTTCGGATGAACATAGGATGGGATCCACTGGTTTCAGTTGCTGCGATGCTGATTTATCAGTGAAACCCTCGTTTTTGCCCCATCTGAGCAGGCCTGGGGATGCGTTCAAGCGTTGTTTCCAAAGAGCTTCACGCCAGCATGAGACCTTCTGCAAGGCAACTGATGCAAGGGTAAAAATGGTTATCAATTGGAAAAGAAAGGCCTTCACCCACCTGGCTAGCCATCCGGTTCCTTAGCTTTTTAGCTTTGTAGGTGCTTTAGGGGAAGTTTCCATTTAACACACTCATAGTTCGTCACTTTTCGCAGATCAGCAAACGGACAGCCCAGCTTCGGGTGCGTTTCCCGGCCTTCCGCTCGGCCCGGGCTCGGCCCTGGGCTCGGCGGGTCACGCGACACGTCCGCAGGAAGACACCGAGTCCACCTTTGACAAGTTCGACCGCCTGGAGAAGTTGATCATCAGCTTGGCGCCGAAGAAAACGTCAGGAGCGGGGCGCAAAAGCGACCTCGAGGTGTCCTTTTTGGTGGGTTTGCTCAAAAATAGAGGCCCTGGTTTAGATGGCGTTCATTCCATTTACCAGGGAACCTATGGGCAAAAGTGACCTCGAACCCCCAGGAACTCCCGGCCGACATGGTGTCCATTGACTTCCATTTGCTGAAAATAATCCGGTATATTTATTCTCCCTTGTTGGTTTCAAAGGGAATCGATTTGACTGCTGGACATATTTTCTTATTTTTCACAAGGAGGCTTGGGCAAATGGAAGTTTATATTGACATGGGTGTGGTTTCCTTTACTTAGAAGATGACACCTTCTAGGACTTATTGTTTTTTGTTTTTCAGGGTCAATAAAGAACCAGAATCCGGCATACATTTTTTGGGTTGGGCAAAGGGCTCAAGGCGCTGTGCCACATTTCCTAAGGGCCCACGAATTGTCAAGCTGCCGCTGGATTGGACCCAGTCCTTGCGTGCATCTGTAGTATTTTCTTTGCACCAGCAACTGTTGAACATTCCCAGGGTTTCAATCAGAGTGACCTGGGGGTGCAAGAATTGAAACGGCAGCGTCTTTTGAGAACCACTAATGTTGACTCCATATCAATCAACCCCAGTTTATTCATATTAGGGGGTTCCCCTCCAAGAGTGGTCTGAATCCCACTAAAACCAGGGACACCCCCCAGCTATAAACAGGTTGGTTGAGTAATATGGGGTCAACATGACCAAGAGCTATGTTGAGATCCCTGAACGTGGGCCCTTCAAGGGATCCAGTTGAGTGATGTGTACTTGTGGTTGGTGCTTGCCTGCGGTTTGCAACATGGGGCCCCCCGGAATGGGCGGGCGTTCCTCTTGGTTTCCCAAGAAAGCGTTTCCCAAAGGGGGGGGGTTCCAATCACAGGAGGACACCTCCCCAAGTGGATCACTCGGTGAAGATGTTGTTAGCAAGACAGGACGAAAGTAGGGGCCGGGGTGCCGGGCCCCAACTGTCCCCCGAAGGGCACCAGAAACAGGACCTTTCTTGCACCGAGGCAATATGGCCAGTGGTTCGCATGCACCTTTTTTTGGGGGGGTCTCCTCGAAAGTACCTTGTTACTTTATGGTAGACGAAATGTGCCCCAAATGTTTGCCAAGTAGACCCGGAGCTTGAGAGCTGATTCTGCCCGAAGAGGTTCAAGCACTAGCAAAATCTGAAGAAAGCAACCGGAAAGCACGAGCTTTGAGCAGTGGGGGGCGGCTTTGGGGAGGGCACGTGGTCCACCAAAAATCCGGGCTGGCTGTTCTACCCCGGTCGCGCGGGCAGTTTTTTGTGTGGGAGCCCACCTTCCGGGGTCCGAAACAAACTGGGACAAAGAACGCCACTGAACTTGGAAGAAAAGAGCTCCTGAAGGGAGCACTCTTGCTCACCCGCCAAAAAAAATCTTGTGAGCTGGAGGAGTCGGGGGGACCCTTTTTTTTTTGCGGGGACTCTTTCGGCCCCTGTTTGGAGCCACAAAGTTGGACCCAAAGGTAAAATGGAGCTCGAAAAGCAGGTTTGTGTTTGGGAAAGACTGGTTAGTGAATATGAAGGAAGGAGCTCTGCGCCCTTTCCAGTTCCACCAAAAAAGAAGCCAAGAGGTAAACTGAGGCTTTGCACGGTGAATACAGTATGGGGACCCGTGGCAGGGATCCAACAACACCCCAGGCTTCACCAATTTGTTGGCCGCGAAGAAAGAAAACAAAAGAACAAACAAAACAAAAGCGTATCGTCTTTCAGGCCGGCGTCGCGCGGGCACTGGGTCCAGCTCAGTGGTGCAGAGTTCAGAAGCCTACTCCCACGACTCTCACGCGTCCTACGCTTCTGGGGCCTCCGGCGCCTAAGGTGCCGGGATAGTCCGCTTTCGTGGCAGTTGAGAGAAAGAGAGCCCTTGAAAACTTCCCCAGAATGAGCTCCCCTGTTGTTTTTGTTGTTTTGCTTTTTTGGGGTCGCTCTGTTTTCCACTAACCGGGCTTTTCTGGTTGCTAAAGTCCTAGTTCCAGCCTAGAAAGGAAGGCCAACATGAGCAGTACCCCACAGATTTCTTTGTCCGCCTGATATACCGTATCCAGACTGAAGATCTCACGTACGACCAAAGACAAAACTCCGACGAGCACTAAAGCATACGTGCGTTCGCTTTAGGCACTTCAACTTGAGCTCTTCAGCGGCCCGGAAGCCATCAGTTGCAGAACCCATTCGGTGAGCGAGGATTCCCATGTAGTTGTCCGAGGGCTGAGAGACCCAGTCCTGGCGGCCATGCGACTCAGAAGGCGAAATGAGACTCTGGAGAAATGAGAGGTCTGTATTGAGGACAAGAAACAGTGGCTGTGTTTCCAATAGGAAGACTTGGTTTCTCCTCCCTCATGGAAGACTTTTCGAGAATGCGACCAAAGCAATACCTATAAACCATATGCCTCAGTCGTGCAATCTCGACAGTCGATCACCTCCTTCCTCGCAGTAATTTGGCTTTTGCCACCTCCACCCCCGGTTTTCTAGTTGAGCTCTGTGAACGATACCTTCCCCCTTTTGTCTACTTTTCCAAGACTGGTCTCAAGCCTTCGATCCCGTTGAGTATCCTCGCTTCTCTGAATAGGGGTCCCAGAGCCCCTTGTCCAAGTAGTCATCTCACTGAATGAGGATACTACTTTCTCTGTGCAGGAGTCCGACATTAGATTCTCTACCCTTCTCCAGACGAGGGGAGCCCGACAGGGTTGTCCCCTGTCTCCTTACCTTTTTTTTCACTTTCCTTGCAGCCTTGATGAAAGACGTCTCCACAACACATTTGCCCAGCACACCTGGGCACTTTCCCAGATAACCGCCTTCATAACATTGAGTATGAGTATTCAGATGACACCGCCCTCCTAGCAGGTTCCATCCACACTCTGCACAAGTACTTGCCCTCCTTGCAACACATTGCCCAAACGTACGGCGTGTCGTTGAACCCCGCTAAATCCCAGCTGAACTCTACTCAGCCTGTATTTTTCTCTCGCCTTGTTACCCCTGACACGCCCTGTACGTGGAGGTACGACCCAACGTTCCAAACCTATTCATCCTATCCCTTCCGTCTGTCCCAGGCCACTAGAGCGCCCGAAAATCGGCGCAAAAAAAAGCCTCTCTGTCAAGCGCAAACTGCACGTCCATACACAAGTGGTGCAGTCCATTCTCACGTACTCTGCGAAGTCCCTTTTCTTTTTAAAAGAAGCCCCAGCTCCACCAACACATTTTTGCACCCTCGTAAAATCCTCGGCATCAAGTCGTCTTTCTCCTTTTTTCCATCCAGTGCTTCCCGCCTCTGACGAACAGTGTTCCAAGGAATTTCTCTCCTCCCAGGCGCACCCCTCCTTACGCCTACCAGGCCATCTTCCGCTCCAGATTGAAATACCTAGGCCATATATCTTTCGAGACCCCCCTCTTCTAGAACATCAGGCCATTTTTGGACCAGTACTCCTTTCCACCATCGTTTTTCTCCCGCGAGGAGAGTGGCACGAACTCGGAGTCCAATTTTTGCAGCATTTCGGCCTCCCCCCCCCTCTTACATGAACTTTCCCGCCCATTCTGGCAACTCCATACGACATACTCCATTTGTCCCCTTCTCGGATTGAACGCTCACAGTTGCTCCTGAATACTCCCTTTCGCCGAACCCTTTACCCCAGCTTTTCTTACTCTCATTGGACAGATCAGGTTGGCACAACATTGTAAATGCTGAAGCGTGCTGCTGTTTTGTCGCCGACCTTGTACTTTGCGCGCACCAAAACAAACCGTGTCCAATTGAGGTTGCCCCAAATTGGATGGAGTTTGAGGGAAGGCTCCTTTCCAAATCAGTGGCCTTTTTTGGCCCTTCCAACGTGAGTCAACAAAATACTTCTCTCTTCTGCCAAGGATTCCTTCGCGCATGCGTCTCAATTGAAAGAAGGAATCTTGATGAAAGCATACCCGAAATTTCGATCTAGCCACATTCAGCTGGCTGGCTGTCGTTTTAGTGAAGCCGAGCCTGGCTTTTGCGAACGAGAGGCCCGCTTTTTTTCAAGTTCCAACCGGCATGCTGCAAGAGTCGATGTTCGACTTGCATAAGATGGGGATATCCTTGATAAGTGTTTGGTCCAAATTAGCCTACGAAAAATGGGGTTCGGCCGCAGAAACAAACCAAGGCTTTTTCTATCACGGCAACTGGAAGGATTCATTGGGGCAAGACTTGCCGTGCCTTGTGTCGGGCATGCACATTTGATTGCCATCCAGCGCTGGAGCGCTAGCCAGAGTACTATACATCGCTGTTCGTTTTTTGCTTCCTCGCCGGACAGCGGGAAAAACGCACCGCGAGTTGAATCTTGTCATTGCTGGGTTGCAAGGCAGCGCAGCGCCGTAGGATTTTGCGCGACCCACTCTGGACACAATAGCCGCCTCTTGCCACGGCTCATCACATGGTGTGTGCTGGCACGCAGGCTGGAGCTTTGTTCCGTGGTCGGCCAACAAAAGCACGTCCCACGTTGTCCGACGGTCTTGTGTGATTGAGGGTTCTGAGACGGCCGGTGGCCCAAAGATGATATCATTGACACGCGGGCAGCATGGGCTCTGGTGTGATTGTATGTTTCAGAATATCAGGCTGAGCTGCTCCAGTTTCATGCAGCTTGGCCACTTTCCCAGTTGATTCAATTCCTTTCTTCGCAGAGTACGGAGCGTGTTGCATTAGCGACATTGCCCAGGACTGATATGACCTGCAACGTCACGCTGTCGGCGGCCCGCCCTTTCCGATATCAGCGCCCATCGGATTTTGGAAGAAACACGCATGGAGTCCCTTTATTTTCAGAAGAATGGAACGGTTAAGCAGAGCATGTGGCTATGGCTTTTAGTGGTTGGAGAGCCCTGAAACATGGTGGTTGCGTATGTATCCGACCAATGATGTCCACCACAGGGTCCAACCACATAAAAAGTCAAGTCATTTGGATAGGACATCCTGGAAGACGTCCGAAAGGACAGCCGCATGAGCCGTTGGCTCGCATGTTCCAGCTGACTCCCGTGAATCCAACCAGTTACTTTGATTTGGAACCCTGGACAGACTCAATGCCAGGCATAAGACTTTGGTTCCTTGGATTTGGAGGAGTCATGCGATAAGACTTTTTTCGTCTCGCCAACGCGACCACGGAAAAGGCTGCTGCGTGCCCTGCAGAAACCTTCTAAGCGCTCCTTGTAAGGTCGGATTTGAGAACCGTTCTTTTGAGTTGGCGGGTCCTTCTGGGTTTTCTGCCTATTCTGACTTGAAAGTCCTTTTTCAAGCACCGAGAGGACCTCTTGGAGAGGATGCCATGATCTCAACTGGAGATCATGTATCCCTGGCAGTCTTTTACGTGAACTATGCACACATTATTCACATAGGTATCGACACGCATTCTGGAAATGAATAGGTTTGTAATTCAGTGAATACCGACAGCAATTCATACGGATTTGGCCTCCGATCCGTGAGGCAAAGTCCTTCGCTTTGGAACACATGACGACCTCTGTCCAGCTCTGTGCCAGTGAGCCTATAACTCTTGAGTCCCCTGAAAGGACGCCAGAAGGGCATAGACAGTCTTCGCCAGCTTCTGGCAACCCACTGTGTAGGGGGTATACACCCCTTTTGAGGGGTATGAACATCAGGCCTTTTGGGTGACTTTGTCCAAGGGCTATGTAAACTTACCTCTTAAAAACACAACTGTTCAACTTTTTGGGTAACATGGGCTATATGTCCGTAAAAGATTAACTTCCCCAGGGCTTGGAGTTTTAAGGGGTAAGTAAAGGGGTATGTACAAGCTCTGGATTCTAGATCCAAGTCCGCTTGGAAGTCGCAGGCCACCGGCCTGGCACGGCGGATGGTGATGAACTTCGGCATGGGGCAGGTCACAGACGTGCAGGCGGATACCTGGATACCCGGCCTGCAACCACTGGACTTATTTGGGCCCCTGATCTTGGTGGGGGTTTCAGGGGATGAAAGGTCGCACGAAAGCTGCAAATTGAGGTCTGGGTCGTTTTTCCACACGGTTGGAGGCAGGCTCCTTATCTTTTTGTCGGGGTTGGCTTGGGACAGCGAGCTGAATGCAGTGAGCGAGCAAAACCTGTGCCCTTCGTTGTTCGGCGATCAGCAACATAATCATTAGGAAAAGGTCGCAAGGCACATTGGAAACATAGCCGAGGTATTTTGACATCTGGGCTGCGATCAGCGCAAGGATTCGTATCAAATTTAACACAGGGTTGCTCGCGAAAAGACATGCCGGCGACGGTCAAAAGATAAAAAGTTATCAAACCCCCAAGCAGGAAGGGTCGCCGCTTAACTCACAGCTTCTCAAAGGCGGCTCGCCCTATGCCAAAGGCTGGTTCCGACTTGTCGGGACACCAAAAATGGCTCGTCGCTTTTTGGCTCTCCTTCAACCGTCCCAAAAGGGTTTCGGATGTTTGCCTCAAGAAGGCTTTGCCAAAACGCTGCTTACTCCCCTAAGGCCCACGGGTCGAATCGATAGGACCAGGTCACCCTTTTGCCGAAGGACCTGAACAGTATTCTAGGGGTTGATTCCCATTCTTTTCAACCATCGTTCTTTTCACAAACCAGCTGTTTCCCCAGGGTTTTGATGGTTTTTTAGAAAGAAGGTTCCCTGAAAAGAATGGAAATGGAAGGTACCCCTAGTGTCCGAAGGTGGAACTGTCTATTGTCAGGGCTCTTCATTTGAGCAGTCAAAAGACCCTCAGCTAGGGGGGGATGGGATGGGGCCATCCACCTGGTAAGTTTTTTTTCTCATTTGGTGAACAATATTTGTTTGTTTTCCCTTGTTGGTTTTAAAGGGACTCGATTTCACCATTGACATATTTTTTTCCAGGGGACTTTAGCAAATGGAGGTAGTAAGGATTCTCAGTAGCCATTATCATCATTCCGGCTAGG